CCATAAAAATTAAATCATAAGCTATCAAAAGTCTATAAATAGTATAATATAACTTTCAGGATACTTCCATTCATCCACCAAAAGATCATACTTATACTTACTTCCACTTAGTCTATTAAAATTCCTTGAGTTTTAAAAGGAAAATAATGCCAAAGGATCTCATTCTTTAAAATATCTGAAATACATATCCTACACATGAGAAAACCAATTTGGTTATAAACCATTCTTTGGGAGAAAATAGGCCACCCTGAATAAAGGAAACCTATCACACATTCATACATTAATCAAACCAAGCTAAGAAGACAAAGAAAGAGTTCATGACCTGTTTGACTAAAGGGCAATTTCTAAACAAGCTTTTCAAAGTAGGGCAAAAAAGAAGTGCAGCTGAAGTCCTTGGATCAATGAAGGGAATTAAGAGGCCAATTAAGTACCTTGGAGAAGGTGTAGAAAATGCACAATGACAAAATTACAAAAAATATTTTTATTTTTTAAAGATTTTATTTATTTATTTTTAGATTGGGGAAGGGAGGGAAAAAAAGAGGGAGAGATACATCGATGTGTGGTTGCCTCTAATGTGCCCCCTACTGGGGTCCTGGCCTGCAACACAAGCATGTGCCCTAGATAGGGAGGGAATTGAACTGGCAACCATTTGGTTCACAGGCTGGCACTCAATCCACGGAGCCACACCAGCCAGAGCCAAAAATTATTTTTAAAATTAAATTTAAATGTTTTAATTATAAAAAGAATAGGCTCAGAATATAATTTAGTATGTTTTCCAATCTTGTCAAATTTCTTGATATTGACTGGTTTGTCTTTTTCACTGAAAATCCAAACACCAAATGTCTCTGCTGGGAAGTCAGGACCAATTTTGTTAAGGATGATAAACCTTGATCAAATCCTGGTAAATTAAATCACCTCAATCTATAGAAATTGAGTTTCCCTAATTCAGTCCACATATGTGGTTTACTCTTGTCTGTGGAAGTAAAAGACAAAAATCACAGGGAAGGACCTTAAGTTTCTACTCTCAAATGATGGATGTTCTTTCTTTCTTTTGTGATTCTAGGTACTTGTAATACTCTTCTATTTGTGAGAACAGACAGAACTCAAACACATTAACACGAACCTCCTTTCTATATATTCTATGACACCCATAATAAGCCTAATACCATTAAGTTTCTTTTTAAAGAATGGCAGAAAGGTACTACAGAGTAGGAACCCACTTTTGTAAAAAAATATGATATACTATATGTTACTTATATCAAAAAGATTTAAAAGTATAAATACTAGATATACGTTCAAAATTATTAGACAATTTGTATTTTCTAATAATCTTCAACAATAAGTATGCATTCTATGGCTTTTATTAAATAAGAATTTCAAATATCTGTATCTTTTAGTAATTACTTTTTTATGAAATTGCCTGGGAAAAAGACATAATTTTATTATCTCTTTATAAACATTTCATGCAATTTTTAATGAACTTGGAGTATCCTTGTTACTAAAAAGAAAAAAAGGAGAGCTTTTAACGATAGCTCTCCTGTTATTAAAAAGAGAATTCAAATAAAATATTAAGATAAATTCATAATTTCTGTTCTTCTGAGCAAATTCATTTTATTGGATACTTTTGTTCCACATCCAAATAATGAACAATGATAAATATCAGCAAATTGCAATTATAACTTTCTATCATCACATTTTAGAAAAATTTTCTAGAGGCTGAAGTAATAAAACAAAAATCATCTAAAATCTTACTACAGATTATTTTTAAATGTCTGTTTCACTGCATTAGTAACATAGAAAACTACTACTTATAACCCTGCCCTGCTCTACCTGTGGATTTTGTTGGTGTTCACTTCTAATGCTGATAATATATCTGAAGGATACTTTTATAACAGAAATAATTTAAAGAGTACAACTGTTTTCAGGACAACACAATAATTTTCCCTCCTTTGTCAATTTCACACATTAGAAGTTACATTTAGAATGTTCCTACTTACCTTAAATTTTTGGATATTCCTATGCATAAAACCAGCTATTTAAGAACACTGAGGCCCTGGCTGGTGTGGCTTTGTGAACGGAGTGCCAGCCTGCAAACCAAAGGGTCAAGGGTTCGATTCCCAGTCAGAACATATGCCTGGGTTGTGGGCCAGGTCCCCAGTAGGGAGTGTGCAAGAGGCAACCACACACTGATGTTCCTCTCCCTCTTTCTTCCTCCCTTCCCCTCTCTAAAAATAAATAAAATCTTAAAAAAAAACACTGAGGGAAAAAAACACCTTACCTTTTGTTACATATGATCAACAGATCTGTCCTTTTTCTGCTTTACAAGCAAAAATTACATTTTCACACAAAATTGAGTGTTCAGTTAGTTAGCTTGAGCTAGTGTTTCGGGCGTGATGCTATAATAAAGCTAAATTGACCATTTGGTCACTGATCCCACCAATTAACTTTTATCTATTGCAGGGCCAGAGGCAGCATCAAAACCCCTGCTGGTCAATTCTTTGGATTGCAAGGAGAGCCTGCGGACTGTGGAGCTAGGTCAGCACAAATCACTATCACCACATTCTATTTATCAACTTTACTACAGACAAATCGTGTAAGAGGAGAACACCAAAAATATACCCAGTGGATCCTCAAACTGATGATAATCTAAGTTAAAAAAATACAATCTGTTTTGTTTTAGATGCTAAACTGAATCCATTTCTATTAATCAGTATTTATTCTTTGAATTTCAAAATGCCACCACTAAATTGAGACCCGCTGCTACGACAGTGTGTAAATATATTAAAAAAAACAACAATCACTGATCCCTTTAACCTCTCAGCTTTATTAATCCATGTACTTTCACCTTTATGTAACATTATAATCTAAGGAGTACTATACCTTGAAATTACAATAACAATTCCAAAGAGAGACAAATCTGTTTGTTTTCTTTACTCCCTGGTAGTAAGTGCAACATAATCATTTGTTCACCCTCAATTTCTCTTCTGACCTGTAACTCTCTTCTGACCTGTAACTGCACAAGGCAATAAAATTACTACTTCAGTCCTTCAGCTGCCCCTCCTAGAGAAGGTGAACTCCCTGAGATAGCACAGCTGCTTCCAGTCCTTCCCACCTGAAGTCCATTACACAGTATAAATTGACACAGTATATATTATCATTGGCTCACAGAGCACTTCCTAGTAACTGCACTATGAAATTCTGTAGATACTAGATGGATATTATCAAACCTTGACACAGTATGAGGATATAGGCCACAAAAGACTTTTGAATGTACTTAGTGGAAAATTGAGCAAGTGAACCTTTCAATCTCTCCTATCCCACGCAGTGTCAGAAAAGCATCCCACAGCCCTGGCCAAGGTGCTCAGTTGGCTGGAGCCACGTCCCCTACTCCCAAGGCTGTAGGATCCGTCAGAGCAAATACAAGAATCAACCAATGAATACATAAATCAGTGGGACAACAAGTCGATATTTCTCTTTCCTCCCTCCTTTCCTTCTTTTCTCTCTCCCCTTGCCCTCCCTCCCTTCCTCTCTCTCTAAAATCAATCGATAAATAAATAACTTTTTAGAAAAAGAAAGGCACCCTACAAATATGGACAACTATATTTTTGCACAAAATCTTTGACCCAAGACAGTCTTTCTTTTCCTACCAGCCATATACTTTTAACTGCCTCTTTGGAGAGAAAAGCCTTGGATTATATCTGGTTCATTCTCCACTACAAATATTCCCTACAAGATAATAAATAGTTCAATATATATCAAATCAAGTAAAATATAACAATACCATCCTTGACTAACTATGTGCTCCTTACAAAATTTATGAACCTATACATTTTAATACCCTTTTTTTAGTTTAAACTATGACTTGAGAATGCTCCCCAATACCCGATGTTAAGAAGGATGCCTGACAGATAGATATGGGAGCAGAAGAAAAAAAGACCCTAGTGAAGGAACAATTTAACATACTTCTTCCATTTCCACCTTTATCCCAAGAGAATTCAAATGATAAGAGAAAAAAAATGGAGGTAGGACCTGTGATTCGGAATCAGCCATAAGAAAACAAAACATGCTGAATTTGCAAACTGCGTTTTAACTTATTCTTTCAAACAATTTTTTAAAGAAGAATTGTTTAACCAACAAAATCTTTCGCTTCACCCAGGCGCAGCTGAATCTCATCTCATCCAATATCCCGCGCCTCCATACACATATACCCAGCACTACCACTTTGAGTCCCTGTGCCAAACCAACCATCACGGGAAAAAGTAAACCATGAGGATCATTTCCTAATGTTCTCTAAAAAATAGTCACAACTGTTTTTCCCACGGGAAAATAAATCATTTATTATATCGGGTTGGGAGAGGGGAAAGCTTATTATCATGCAGCTTTTCATTCTCCATAGAGAGGAAAACAGCAGTAACTTCCAAAAAGAGACAACTGCATGTATCCCCAGTTAGAATCTAAAACACCAGCCAAAAAACAAAAACACCCACACACTCAAGTAACAGACTCCTGAGGCATTCACATGAATAGAAACTGAGGCACTTCACTTTGCAGCAACACTGTCCCTTAAACAAAAATCCCCCAGAGCGTGGGGGAAGGGGATGATCCATGCTTCCCCTACGCCCCTGCCACACAGGGGGAGCATGATTCTGTCAAACAGAAAACGCCACTCTCCACCTCCCCCGCCATCCAGAACACTGACTGGCACCGGGAGCGGGGGCGACCGAGGGCAGGAGAAGCGAAGAGGCGGGGACACCACACACCGCCTGATTCACGGCTTTTAAAGATGTTTTAAAGCTACGATTTCCTCCGCCCGGAGAATTCTCATCCATTCACCATCCCCAACTCCCACCCTGCCCCACCCCCAACCGCGGGCGCCGCAGGGCCGGTCACGGCCGGGCCTCAGCCCCAGCGCCCAGCGCCCCCAGCCCGCGGTGGGGGTCCCACGCGCGCCGCTCACCACCCCGAAGCCCCGCGCGCCGGGGCCAGGAGACGCGTCTCACCTGGATGTAGTTGTTCTCGCAGTAATCGGCCACCCGTTCCAGATTCGTGTAGCTGTCGAAGAGAGCCCGGCGCCCCCCCGGGATTTCCTCCTCGAGCAGCATCTGCAGCTCCGCCATCTTCACATCCTCCTCCTCCTCCTCCTCATACAGTCCGCAGAGGCAGCGGCGGCCGCGGCGCCAGGGAAACCCAAGCTCGGGAGAGGAGGAGTAGCGGCCACGGCGGCCGCAACTCGGAAGGAGCGAGAAACACCCCCGCGCGCGACAGGGGAGGGGTCAGCAGGGACGGGGGCGGGGCGCGAGCCGATGGACTCGAGGACAGTCACCGCGGCGACAGCCGGCCAGGCGCGCGCACGCGCGCTCCTCTCCCTCCCTCCGCCCAGGGCGCTCGAGAGCGATTCCCACCCTCCGCCCCGCGCTCGCCCCTCCCCCACTTCCGGCGTCTCCAAGCGACGAACCGAGTGGGGGCCGGGATGCGCGCGGGAGTCGGGCGCGCAGTTAACCCTTCGGACCCCGCCGGCTGCGCGTTGTGGGAAATCCCACCCCCGGCGGCCTTTGTTAGTCCGACGTCGCCGCTCAGGCCCCGGCGTCTTCCCGCCCGCGCCCCCCGCGATGCCCCCGCCGCGTGATGCTCAGCCTGGGGTCCAAGGCCTTGCTGTGGTCATTGGCCTGAGGGACATGTCAGCCCAAGGAAACTTCCATGCAGCTTTAAGTGCCGCGTTACTTTTCATTTTTCTCTTCATCTTGGACCACATCAGTACATTCCAGTTTCCTGATCCTCAATTTCCTGCACCCTGGCTTTTTTTTTTTTTTGCATTGACTTGCCCCGTTCCCTGGACCTCAGCTTGATGTGCCTGCCCCGCTTCCTCACTGACAACCTTTTCTGTCATTTCTCTGGCTATATCGTCTTCGCTATCTTTTCTTCGTGATTCAGTAAAGTTTCTGAAACGATTTTGCTGGTACTAATTTCCTTCCCTACAGGGCTGTTACATGGGGAAAATAAAAGTTTATGTGAGGGCACCTTCAGAAATGTTAAATTCAAGGTAGAGCATTTTGATCTTGCAATTCTGTTCTTATTCCCCAAATGTATCTTTTTGCTAGATGTGACTGTTCCACACAATGTAATCTTAAAAAACCAAGACCCCTGACACCCGCTGAGATACAGTCTGTGACCTTTTCTGTACTGTGATAGTTAAAGTTGGCTACATTTGTAGTTTAGAACAGGATCCATTATTTCAACTTGTTCTTGCTTTTGTGATCTCTTGTTCCTCCTACAGTGATTCTCTGCCCCCCCTTTCCCAAATGATAAGAAAACTATATTATACTTTCTCAAAAAAATCATTTCGATGCTGTTCCATTACAAATTTCTGGAGCAATCTCTGATGTTATGACATTGATTTTATGATAAGCGTATTAGCAAATTGTTTTGAGTCTTTACTGTGGAACCTAAATAAAAAGACATTGAAAATGTTGGTCCAGTTCAACCAGTTTTACTCTTAACCACTTTAAACATCTATATTAGTGATTCTCAAACTTACGTGTGATGAGCTTGTTAAAAAAAAATGAATGCTTCAGGGTCACTCCAGAGATTAATTAGAGACCAGCAGTGATGGAATGGGGTAGTAGTTATATGGCTCGTAAAACTTGCCTCAGGGAATAAGACATTTATAATCAAGTGATTAATACATATTAGATGCAGCAAACTTTTGTTTTAGACTGAAGTTCAATGTATCAAAGGGCTAGTGTTGATTTGCAAGAAGCAAACCGGAGAGTTAAATGGTAGGCTCTTCTCCCGTTACACTATTCTCACCTAGCATTCTTTGGAATACTGCTTAGCGATTATCCTCTATAAACACATCTCCCTATGGGGTGATTCATCAACCTAGGAATCGCTCTGTGAGGATTCCAGCATTGTACTTTCTCAAATCAATTTGTGACATTCCATATGGATCTTAACTTCCTTATCTGAAAAAGCAAAGCATTAAACTCAGGTCAGTTCTCAAACTTCAGTGTGGATTGGAGTTATCTGGAGGGCTTGTTAAAACACAGATTGTTAGGTCCCACCCCCAGATATTCTCATTCAGATAGTCTAGTCCAATTTATAGTTCTAGGGAGTGTCCAGGTGATGTAGATGAAACTGCCTCTCTGGCTCTGAAGGTCCATGATTTCAATGTCTGAAGCTGGGAATCTCCTCTAAGAGGAGCTTTAATACTCAGCAGAACCTAAGGACTCCAAGACATAAATACTTCTCCTGCCTCGGAGGTAATTTAAGCAAAAAGGAAGACAACTAACTACAAGAGCTCTAAGAATACATGTGATTTGAGTGGTGAGATTGCAGGGCTTTTTGGGGTTACTAACCCTAATTTTATAAAATGAACATGGATTATTTTTCCAAGAATCCAATGAGACTATTGTCTCCCAAAATCAGAGAGAATACTTTCATTAATGCTGCCCCAGGTGACTTTTTAAAGCAATTTTACCATCAACCTGATTCAAAGTGAGCATTAAAAACTCCTAATTTTTTATATATTAGCTGCCATGCCAAGTACAGTTTATTTTTTTAAGTGTAATTGCAATTCTTTATATTTATTTCCAATAAATTACACTTTGGCTTTGTCCCAAGTTTGAGTAAGCATGTTGAATAAGTCAAGGTAAGCCTCACCCAATTGTTAAGAGCCACTATTAATATACCAGTACCTACTTCCGGCCAAGATGGAGGTGTAGGTGGAAACACTGCACCTCTTTGCACAACCAAGTTTAAAGACAACAAACTTAATAACAAAAACACAGCCAAAACACAGAAAATTGAACTATACAGAAGTCCAACAACGAACTATTTAGCCAGACCAGTTAGAGGGGCAGAGTCAGTGGCGGAGCAAGGTCAGGCAGGAAAGATCACTGGACCGACCCAGGAGCATAAGCGGATTGGCGGTTGGCGGATCCCAGGCATAGGGTGGCAACAGGTGGATCCAGTGAGGGCACAGGGCGGCTGGCTGGCTGCCTACAGTCAGACATTTGAGCGCAGATAAACCAAGCAAAGAGGCAAAAGAAAGACAGACCGCTCAGGCCAGGGCCCCAGTGACAGGAATTAGAGCCTGAAAGCACCAATTGGAAAGACTTTTGGGGTCAAGGTACCGGAAGAGTTTGTTGGAGAGACTGACAGGGTCCTGGAGGGTACACAAGCCCACAAACCCGGGAACCAGCACCAGAAGGGCCCAATTTGCTTGTGGGAAGCAGCAGAGGGGACAGAAATCTGAGAGAGAGCAGAACAAACACCATTGCCCCTCTCTGACCCTGCCCCCACATACAGCGTCACAAACCAGCAAACTGGGTAGCCCTACCCTGGTGAACATCTAAGGCTCTGCCCCTCATATATAACAGGTGTGAACAGACCAAAACATTATGGCTCAAGAATAGCTCAAAGCCCCAGAGCCAATAATTTTAAGCAACCTAGAGATAGCCAAACTTTCAGATGCACAGTTCAAAACACTGGTGATCAGGATGCTCACAGAACTGGTTGATTTTAGTCACAAATTAGAGAAACAAATGAAGGCTAACCTAACTGAAATGAAGGGAAGTGCACAGGAAACCAATAGTAATGGAAATGAAACTAGGACTCAAATCAAGGGAGTGGACCAGAAGGGAGAAAGAAACAACCAAACAGAAAAGAATGAAGAAACAAGAATTCAAAAAAATGAGGAGAGGCTTAGGAACCTCCAGGACATCTTTAAATGTTCCAACATCCAAATTATAGGGGTACCAGAAGGGGAAGAGGAAGAGGGACAAGTGGAAAACTTATTTGAACAAATAATAAAGGAGAATTTCCCCAATCTGGCAAGGAAATAGACTTCCAGGAAATCCAGGAAGCTCAGAGAGTCCCAAAGAAGTTGGACCCAAGAAGGAACACACCAAGGCACATCATCATTACATTAGCCAAGATTAAAATGAAGGAGAGAATCCTAGAAGCAGCAAGAGCTAAGGGGACAGTCACCTACAAAGGAGTTCCCATCAGACTGTCAGCTGATTTCTCAAAAGAGACCTTACAGGTAAGAAGGGGCTGGAAAGAGGTATTCCAAGTCATGAAATCCAAAGACCTACAACCAAGATTGCTCTATCCAGCAAAACTTTCATTTAGAATAGAAGGACAGATAAAGTGCTTCTCAGATAAGATCAAATTCAAGGAGTTCATCATCACCAAGCCCTTATTATATGAAATGTTAAAGGGACTTATCTAAGAAAAAGAAGTTAAAAAATATGAACAGTGAAATGATAACAGTGAAATAAAAACAGTGAAATGATATATCAGGCAATACCAAATTGGGTATATATGTATATAATTTTATATACACATAAAATATATTTCAATGAATGAATATGTATGTGAATATATATTTCCACGAAATTTAAAAGAACTCTTTTTTGCACAGTTAAGTTCCCTATTAGAAATATCATACAGTACTCAGGAGAAATGCAAGCAGAGCTTCTTATTCAAACAATGAAATGGTTAACTGGCTTCCCATTCTCACTCCAAACAAGAAAAACAATTATCAGTGATTCATATTTTATAGTATTTATACACATTTGTGGGTTTTAGTCAGATTTAAGATAATCAGGAAATTTAAATATCCAGTGCATATAGTTAGAACACACTAAGTCTTTGAAAAACAAAAATGTTCTGTCTGTGATCAAAAGATAAATTCCTGGAGCCCTGGCTGAGTGGCGCAGGTGATTGGAGACTGGTCCTGTGCACCGAAAGCTTGCTGTCTCCATTCCAGGTCAGGGTGCATACCTAGATTGCAGGTTGGATCTCCAACGGGTCAGATGCATCGGGAGGCAGCTGATTGATGTGTGTCTCTCTCTCCCTTCCCCTCCCTCTGAAATCAGTTTCCATGTACTTGGATGAGGATTAAAAGAAAAGATAAATGGCTGGAATCTAAGATTTATATTTTTGGGCAAGCTTTATCATCTGAAACTTTGGTTTCGGTTTTAATAATATAAACTTTGGTCTCAATTTTAGGGATATTTATTTAATGGCTAAAAATGTACCAAACTATTTTTTAAAAGGCTTTTCGTACAATAGAGCGTTCCATGCTATATAGCTATATGAATATAGAATACACATTTTTAGGAAATAAGTTAAGATTTTAGTCTCTATTATGGAAATTACAAACATACAGTATGGACAATGATACAATGAATACACAAAATACTCATTGATTAGATGTAACAATAGCTTCTACTTTACATTATTTTCTCATATTAGTATTATGCTAAAGATTTTTAAGGAAGATTATACTAATCATGACATTTAACCTCTAAATACTTTTGGATATATCTCTAAAAAATAAGGACATTTTTGCCACATAAGCATAATATTGTTAGCACATCCAACAAAATCAACCATAATCCCTTTATACTATCCAATATCCAATAAAATCACTCTTCAAGAAGAAATTACTCTTATGAAGAGAGGAAATACCATATACCCAACCTACAACCTGGAGGAATTATATTTACTTATTTAGTAATATGTAATAGTTTCCTGTGAGAGACAACAAAATAGCTCCCTTTCTTGAAAATGAAAAGAAACAAGTTTTTCCATTAAACCATGAAAGTGAACAATAAAAACCTGAAATTATTCATGATAATATATCAGTGTGTAAAGGTATAACAATGGGATAGACATATGCCTTGAAAGGTATGTGATTTTTAAGAATAATAATTCTTTAGTTCCCACTAAAATTGGCTTTACACATTCCTCCCTCCAAAAAACACTGAGTTTCAGAACTAATGAATAAAACAGATAATGGTTTCCACACAGCAGACAGGTCACCAATCAGTTCGCAAAAACTGGATTTCTCAACTCAGCTACTTTTGTTTTAAATTATGTTAAAGATTTTATAAAACTTCAAGCCTCAAAATGTATTAACTAGACTTTTATTACTGAAAACCATACTGACCTTCATTTAATAACAGGAATTACTAAGTTTGAAATGCATCAGTTTTTTCTGAGTGTGCATTAATGCCATTAGAATTTACATGCTGAATATTAACTTACAGCACGCATAATTTCCAAAGCTGCCAACTTTTTAAAAAATTAACCCTCGCCCAAGAATATGTTTATTGATTTTTAGAGAGAGGAGAAGGGGGAGAGAGAGGGAGAAACATCGACTGGTTGCCTCCCATAAGTGCCCCGGCAGGAGATGAAAGCACAAGCTAGACACATGCCCTGACCGGGGATCCAATGGCAACCTTTTGGTGTACAGGAGACTGCTCCAAGCAACTGAGCCACCCTTCCAGGGCCTGCCAACTTTTTTTTTTCATAATAATCTGTTTCTTGCCACTTTGGGTAATATTGCAAAAAGGTTACACTTGGACAAGATGGCTAACTAAACCCCATAGTGCATGGTAATAAGTTTCACTTGTGTATTAAATACAAGGTTGATAAGAATAAGTATACTGGTTGCTATGTTCATGAAATGAAACACAGGAGAGGTTATTAGAAAAAAAGATTCATGATTTTCTTTGTCAAAGTCATTTTATGTGGCGTCTTGGAAAGAAAGGAGCAGAACAGAATAATTTTGGTTATTTAAAAATGGCAGGGAACACTGAATTTAACTACACTTAAAAATACATCTGTAGGATATCTTCCTTCCTCCTCCACAGGAATTAACAATATATTTCTCACAGATTTCTGTTAGCTACTTCTATTAGCTAAATGTCTACCCAGATGAATAAGTAAATGACTCATATCACTGAAATATTTCATAAGATTTTATGATGATATTTCAGGGGAAAGTACCATTTTACCTTCCAGTGGAAAAATATTTGGGTATTAGGATTAAAATACAGGAAAGTAAAAGTCCGTCCGATCAGTGAAATAGGGACTAGGATGAGATTTTGAGTGTACTAGAGCACTTTTGCAACTTTAATAAATCTGTGTACTGTGAAATAGCTTTTATTTTTTAAAAAAGCTTGGCATCTACTTACTATCTCATAAATAATTTTAAGATATCCTGGAGAGGTTTAAACAACTAAATGATAAATCATATATAAGACATTAGCAGGAAGTATAGCCCTCCAAACCACTGAGGCATAGCACCACGCCAAGTAAGGTAAGATGCATTCCAAAGCCATCTTCGTGGGTTGCAGCCAGTGCAACTCCAGAGAGACTCGCTGCTCAGGAGGGCCCTATGCTAGGGGATTAATGCTGTGAGGACAACATAGTAAATTCTTCAAAATTTTAGTTTTGCATTTGTGTTTTGCAACTGAATTCCAGCGGGACCATGGAGCATACACTAGGGGCTTGGAGCCTATTTCCTTGCCTTGCACACAGTTTCCCAGCGACCAGCTCCTCCCTCCTGGTGCCCCAGCTGGCCTTCCTCTCCCCACCCCTGAAGGTGACCACTGCTGTGTTCTTCCTAGGGCAGCAATAGGACTACATTAGCAGGGAGTTGGTGACTGTCAGTTGGAGCACATTTTCACTTTCTACTGGGCTCCATAAATTATGTAGTCAGAGCTGATTGTGCCTCCTCCAAAAAACTCAAAAATGTTTATAAACATCATAGCATAGTCTACGGGACATCTTTTTTCAAGCACTTGTTTTTAGGAGACTATTATCCTATCTCTATAGTATACTAATTTAGCCAGAAGGTTTTGTTTATTTGTGTTTTGTTTTTTGTTTTTACTTAAGGGGTCCTTTCTTTGTTTTAAATTTTTCCTCTAGAGAATAAGATGAAATCAAAAGGAAATCACATTCTGAACAAGTTTTAAAAAAAAGAACTGTATGAATCTGAGCACGTCCCCATACAAAACAAAGTCTTCCAGTATAAATTTCACTTATATAAGGGGATTGGATTAGAAAGTATCCATAGGTTTCTTAAATGTAACATAGTATTCCAAAATCTACTAACACTAAAGTAAACCGAAGCTAATAAATGAATAGATCATATTTCTGACTTCAACTTAGTTAATTAACTGTCTTCAGGGGTTCTTAAGTTATTATAAAACATTAATTTTTAAAGACCGCACCATAGTGCAGTTGAAGGTATCAAGTGTAAATAATTGGTATCATGAGATTTCTGGCCAACATGGAGGCATAGGTAGATACACTTTGTCTCCTCACACAATCAAAAGAAGGACAACAAAATTCAAAAACAAATATAACCAGAACTGCCAGGAAATCAAACCATATGAAATTCCAACAACCAAGGAGTTAAAGAAGAAACATTCATCCAGACCAGCAGGAGGTGCAGAGACAGACAGCCGCAGAGGAGAGGACTCTCGGCAAGGTGGCAGCTGAGAGACTGGGTGGTCCCACATTTGCATGTGGTTAAACTGGGAGGAACAACAGGGGATGAAACAGACCACACAAACCCAGGGTTCCCACCATGGGGAAATAAAGCTTTAAAACCTCTAGTGTTAAAAATCTGTGGGGGTTGTGAGAGCAGGAAAACTCCAGCCTCACAGGAGAGTTCACTGGAGAGACACACAGGGTCCTAGAATGCACACAAATCCACCCACCCAGGAATCAGGACCAGAAGGACCCAATTTGCTTATGTGTTGTGAGGGAGGTGACTGAAAGCTGAGAGCAAGCAAGCGGCACTATTCCCTCTCAGACCCCTCTGCCACCTACAATGCCGATGCTGCCCTGCCCTGGTGAAGATCTAAGGCTCCGCCCCTTACAGTAACAGGTGTACTGAGAAAAAAAAAAAAATATATGGCCCTAAGGAAAGAACAGATCAAAGTTCCAAAAATAGAACTAAACAATGAAGAGATGCCCAACCTATCAGATGCAGAGTTCCAAACTCTGGTAATCAGGATGCTCACAGAAATGGTTGAATATGGTCACAAAATAGAGGAAAAAGTGAAGGCTAGGAAAAGGGAAATAAAGAAAAATATACAGGGAACCAACAGTGAAGGGAAGTAAACTGGGACTCAAATCGGCAATTTGGAGCAGAAGGAAGAAATAAATGTTCAACCAGAACAGAATGAAGAAACAAAAATTCAAAAAAATTAGGAGAGGTTTAGAAACCTCCAGGACAACTTTAAATGTTCCAACACCCAAATTAGAGGGAGTGCTCAAAGGAAAAGAGGAAGAGGAAGAAATTGAAAACTTATTTGAAACAATAAATGTAGGAGAACTTCCCCAATCTAGCAAAGGAAACAGACTTCCAGGAAGTCCAGGAAGCTCAGAAAGTCCCAAAGAAGATGGACTCAAGGAAGCACACACCAAGGCACAACATAATCACATTAGCCAAGATTAAAGATATGGAGAGAATCATAAAAGTAGCAAGAGAAGAGGAGACAGCACCTCTAAAGGAGTTCCCATAAGACTGTCATCAACTGATTTCTCAAAAGAAACCTTACAGGCAAGAAGGGACTGGAAAGATGTATTCAAAGTCATGAAAGGCAAGGACCTACATCCAAGATTGTTCTATCCAGCAAAACTTTTATTTAGAATGGAAGGGCAGATAAAGTGCTTCTCAAATAAGGTCAAGTTCAAGGAGTTCATCACCAAGCCCTTATTATATGAAATGTTAAAGGAACGTATTTAAGAAAAAGAATATGATCAAAACTATGAATAGTAAAATGACAACAAACACAACTATCTACAACTAAACCTAAAAAAACACAAAAAACAAAAATAAGAACAAACTAAGCAAACAACTAGAACAGGAATAGAATCACAGAAATGGAGATCACATGGAGGATTATCAGTGGGGAAGTAGAGGAGTGAGAATGGGGTAAAAAGTACAAGGAATAAGAAGCATAAATAGTAGGTACAAAATAAACAGGGTGAGGTTAAGAGTGATATAGGAAGTATAGAGGCAAAGAACTTATATGTATAACCCATGGACATGAACCAAGGGGCAGGAATGTAGGTGAGGGGGAGTGCAGGGCAGAGGGGAATAAAGGGGGGGATGGGACAACTATAATAGCATAATCAATAAAATATATTAATAAAAATCATAAAAACTGCACTACAAAGGAACTGAAATATAAAACACAAACACCACTTTTTAACAAGCATCTCAAAATTTTAGGCACCCATGGTCTTAAGTAAAAGTCATGGGTACTATTACTAAAAGGTACCAGTGCTAAATAAATTCGTATTTCCAGAATTGAGGACGAGGGTTCCTTCATTGCAAACTTTGGGTCTCCCAAATCCTGGCCCCTGATATGCAAAACAGAGGTTGGTAGACAAGGGTATCTGAAGTCGGGTGAAAGAAGAAGTCTGGGGATGCTCTCACTTCAGTGTTGCTGGATTGGAGTTCAGGCTACGTGCACCTGCCGGGCCATCATAGAGAACGTTAGATTAGTTTTAGATGACCCTGGGGCGGCTGGATCAGTCTGGGGGCTGACCGAGAGATTTGACCTAGAATTTCCCAAATTTCCTATAGCCCTCCTGTAATTCCTCTGAATAAGAAAAAAACAGAAACTCAGAACAAACTCATGGTTCTACTTCTATCTAAAATTTCATCTGGGGTTTGAAATCAGATCACTTTCTCATCATGGAGGAAACAAAGTGACGTTTATCTTGGTGGAATCACTGTGCTATATAGAGCTGCCCTACTGCTTGATTTGCATTTTCTGAAGTGATTTAATTCCAACAGGGCACCATGCAGATAGAAATATGAGTATACCACAGTGCCCAGTTCTTGTGATTAAACTCTGTATTGGGAAAGATGAAAACCTCAGAGACAGACATAAAATTTATACACACATTAAGAAGGTTGTCATGGCAACTTTGCTTGCAGTTATGTATTTTTAAATCTAAGTAAATTTAACATTCAAAACACATTTGCATCTCCCTCAAAGGTTCTGTATCAAGAATATATATATATTTTTTTAATTTCCCAACTCCTTCTGAATCTACATCTTCTTGAAAGCTTAACAAAAATCCTATGAATATAATAGCAACATAGACTTAAACACATATTTTCGGAAGGACATGAGAAAAATCAAAGGGAAACCCTAATAACATTACTACTCCCAGAAGTCCTAGGCTTCTCTAAATTTTTAGATAGCTAGCAGGCCATACCATATAATCTTTACCTGGTCCTTTTAAGCTTTAAAAATCAATTATTTACCAGCTGATGACCTTGCCAACACAAAGTAACAAAACATAAAAGTTGAGCACCCCTAGTGTTGCTGTATAATTAAGCAACAATTCATACAAATGACAGTAACAAACACTGCTCTTTAACACAGTAAACCAATTCTTAGTTTTATTTCTTCTCGCTCTGAAAGTTCTCCAATATTCTACTTAGTGTCAACGTTGACAGTTATCCTTGATAAGATACCTAGTTTAACTCTCTTGCTCATACACTAAAAATAACACAAATAATGGTTCTTCTGCTTCTTCCCCCACTACCGCCTATAACAGAAGCCTCCGTGTTCTTTGTGGTGTAGTCAACTACAAGTCCTTCCTTACTGGCCACTAACCTAAAGGGTCTTTGAGCTGTTTCCAAACCCCAGACCGAAAGAGCTCCAAGTGCTATTAAGCTTCAGGACATGAAAATTTCTAGGTCTCCCTCCTGGTGAAGCTCACCCAGAAGATGTAGATGGTACTTGTGTTTTAGACCAGTGATTTTCAATCTTTTTCATCAATCGTATATACAAACAAACTAATTATTAAAATTCTGAAGCACACCAAAACATGTATTTTTTTTTTTTGCCAATCTGACAAAAATAGGTAAAATTTTGATTCATTCACACTGACAGCTATTGTGCTGGCTGTTGTCTTTTTATTTGACAGTCTAATGGAAAAGAGGCCCCTGACTAAATAGTCAGTTATTGCACGGTTTAAAAATTCTTGCAGCACATGGGTTGAAAACTGCTGTGCTAGAACATTACTTCTATGAGATACTGGTTGTGTAATAGGTATGCCTGGGAGAGGGGATACTTTCATCAAATACATTTGGAACATTAAGTGTTAGACCAAGGTAAAATAGGTTCTTTAGAGTAGAACTTCTCAGCACTTCCACTGTATTAACATGTATTACATATATATGAGAAAGAACTTAGTATGGAGAATCTGAGTATGAATGAATATGATCCAGCAATCTTTTTCTCAGAGTACCCCACAGGGTAGTTTTCCATGAGACACAATGTGGGAAAGAATGTTCTCGCTAATGTAATAAAAAGACTCAGATCCTTAAACTTTTCCTGGTTTAATAATGATCTCATGATACAGAAGGAACAAAGGAGTGCTTATTACCAACTATTTTGGTTGATATTTTATGGAAGTACTGGCTATTATAAACCTATGTTCACACCTAATACAGGCATCACTGAAAGGCATCCATACATCTTCTTAAAAACTTCCAGTAACAAGGTGCTTAGCATGTCACAAAATACTATTAGCATTAGAGGTAGTTTGGCTACCTGGAAAGCTTTCAACTATTTAGTAACTTCAATAATTTCCTTTACTTTATTCTACATGCACAGAAAACCTCAATGAAGATTTCATTAATTTACATTCATTTACTCAAACATATTTATTGCCCTTTTGGAGACTGGAACTTTACAATTTTATCTATTTATAGTTACAATGGGGAGGTAGCACGGTTTCATTCACTATTATCATGTGTTAAAAATTGAAACAAGAATTTGCAAGTATTTTATTTTATTTTAAAGATTTTACTCTTTTCCTAGAGAGGAAAAAGAAGGGAGAAGGAGAGGGAGAGAAACATCTATTGGTTGTCTCTCACATTCCCCCCACTGGGGACCTGGCTCACAACCCAGGCATGTGCCCTGACTGGGAATCAAACCAGGACCTTTTGGTTTGCAGGCCAGTGTTCAATCCACTGAGTCACACCAGCCAGGTCTGAAAGTGTTTTAAATGTAAATAAATGTGTGTCTTTTGTAATTACTCAACAAGATATATTTGTGACTTATTTGCTCATGGCATTTTATCACATGCTCTAACAAGATCCACTCCCAATCTCTGGAAGGACAGCCACCAAACTGTAAACCCATTAATTGGAGAGTGCAACTAGAAAAAGAAATATCATTTTCCAGCTTTTGTTTATTGCCTGGATATTTTACAAAATGGCTCCCAATTCAAATTTTACAATTATCTATTCATTCAGTGTCATAAAATTCTATAAATCAAACATTAAATTGATTTCAATTTTAAAAGTCTATTCATGCCCCCCAAAAACATCTATTCCCTGAAGCCCTTACAAAAAAGTAACAAAAGAAAATGGTTAAAATTCATTAAGTGAAAAGGAACCACATTGTTATAATTGCAATAGGTAAAAATACATGTGTAAGCAGGAAAAAATTTAAACAGTTGTATAGATGGTTGACAGCATTAGTTCACTTTTTAATGACTTCTTTTAATACTGCTGTTACAATACTACTAATAATTTTCTTTAGCTATTATGAACAGTATATCATGTGAAACTATTGTTTGATTCCCTTTTAAATAAGAAGAAACATACCAATAAACCCCACTGAAGACATTAAGATAATTTAAAGTTTAGGTCTTTTACTTGCTGTTTCTTAGCATCTACTATCTTCAATTATTCTAGCAGGAGTGAAAAACTATTTTAGTCTGACACTGAACCTACTGTTACGCTCTAAGGACTAAATGAGATAGGTATATAAAGTACGCACTTGGTTTGTAACAAATGCCCGTGCCAGTCCCTTGTTCTACTTTCAGCTGAACTGTTACTGCAAGTTTCAGTCTCACTCCTTTTTATCACTGCAGGTCACTCACAACAGTTCAAAACAACATTGTATTATTCAGCCTTTTTGGCTGTGCTGATTTCCTCTGACTTTTGTAGTAACAGTAACTGCTTTGTTGTCATATCCTCCCTCCCCAACTCCTCCCCTTCTACCTCAATCATTGGTTTTAGAAACTTAGGAAACGGGCAGAGGACTGGCTGAGAAGAAAAATAAGGTCACTGGTATCAATTTGTTGACACTGTATAAAACCTGACCTTGAAAATAGTGTCCATGTCTCACAGCCATCTTCTCGAGGCTGCTAAACTACTCCTTGATGCTACTGGTCCTGTCCTCAGTCTCACACATGGTAGAATCGTGTTTTTAGGTGGTTTTCAATCTGTCAATATATTCACATGGGGAAAAAATTTATAGGTTAACAGTGCTTTTAATGGATCTGGAGAAAAAAAATAAAGATGCCTTCAGGGAAGAATCTTAATTTGTTTGCCCCAGAATCCAGAAACAATAAGAAAGATTCTTAAGATTTCCTCTTAAAAGTTGAAATGCCATGTCAATTTGAACTTAATGATATTGAAGATTTCCTTCAGGATAGTAATTTCTTTTTTTAATTGTTCATTTTACACTGTTCTATAACTTTAGCAACCTAGATGTACAAATATATAACTGTTTTATTAGCACAGATGGAGAAATAAGAATATTTTTAAAGTTGAAAAGAATAAAAAGATTAGCTGTGAAGGGAGAGAAAAGAATGCCAAAAATCTGGGCTTACTTTCTCTGTGAGAAGAATACTAATGTTCTAGTTGTAGAAAATGCTATTGTTCATAATATACTAAATGAAGAGAACAGTATATATAGTGTGTCTATAGAAATATGTGCATACAAAATACAGAAGGATTTATCTCAAAGCTTAACACTGACTAACTTTAAGTAGTGGGACTATCATTGACTAAGTTTGCTATTTTTGTATTTCTATTATTTCCTAGATTTTTCTACAACAAACTTATATAACTTTCATAATAAAAAACAGAATGCTTGTTTTTAAGAATATAAACTATTTTAAGATAAATAAAACAAATTTTGACATAGGATCTATAATTGAAATATAATCTATATATATAAAAATGAAACTGCACATCTGTGGGCCAAATAAACACCATATGAGGTTTTTATTTTTCCCAAACACATGTACAGAATTAATTTGGACTTGAATTTTATGAGCACATATGGAAAAGCCTTTTCATTCCATAAAAATGTGTTGTGCTGATGTTTTTAACAATAAACTGCTGAACTATCTATCAAAAAGAATGCACATCACAATCAGTGAACAAATAGTTTTAAAAAACCCAAAAGCTACAAAACTTAAGAGCCCTGCTAGAGTTATGCTACAAACCATCAGTGACACTGTGGCTGCTAAAATATCAGTCATTTGATAAACACAAAGGGCCAAGTAAGAATAACAGGGAATGAACAACTTATTTTATACGTAATTAATAGTATTTTATCTTTTAAATCCTTTTGAAGATGATCTTTTAATGTTTTAAGTTAGTCATGTAACTATGAATAAAATGTGCTGGTTTAGTTGATTCTTCTGGCCTCTGCCTCCTTGATTCCAATCATCATTAGAACTGTACAGGGAAGGCCTTACTTGTTGGCAACATGCCAGCTCTTTCTCGGCCGCCCTGTTTCTGCCTTGACCATGGCTGACAAGGTCTCACTTACTTTGAAATCTCACCTGATTTTACTAACACTTGGTTTACGTATCAATTGCCTACTCTCTACTTTTACTGCCAATTTCCAAACCACTGAAGGTACTTGGACAACAAAAGAAGATGTGCTACAACCACAAAACCATGATACCTGGGTGGGAATAAATGTAACAATTTATATTGAACCATACCTTTTAGAAACAACATGATGCTGGGAACTATGAATACATTTGACTTAAAGTTTCTGAATATAAATTATTCCATAAGTTAAATATTTTTGTCAGAAATAAAGCCAGCATCTAATTAAATTCTAAGTTAACCACTCATAACGAGGTCTAAAATGTTAGCTCTTTAAGCACAAACACAGCATAAAAGAATAATTAAGAACTAGGGTACATTCTTGAAATTAAATTTACAAGTTAAATTCACAAATTAAATTCAGCAGCTTCAAAAATAAGCTCACTTGCAACATTTTTCATTTTTCTCCCTTTCCTCTCTATCTGCACTTGGCATTATTTCCCTCAGCTGTAGTGTTTAAAAAATGTATTTTTAAAAAAGAAGTCTTTAAGAACAGCATAACCAAAAAAAAAAAAGTGAACTAAAATACAGTGCTTCAATAAAAAAGTATTAAATACAAAACTTATCAGTACTAAAATGTGACTGTTATAAGCTACTTAAAATATTTTTAAATAGCCCCAATATTTTTTTTGCTTACTAGTGAGACTGACCATTTTTTCTGGAAGTTTACTAGTTATGTTCTCCTGTAAAAGCTGCTATTCATGTCTTTTATTCATTTATCAATTGTATGTTTTCATACCAATATGTATGAGCTCTTTATACATAATATGGTTATTAAACCTTTCTGTCCAATATTTTGCAATTATTTTCACCCATCTTTGTTTTCTTTTTAATTTGGGGATTTGGGGTTTTTTTGGGGGGGATTGGTTAGTGCTTTCTCATTTCTTAATAATAAATTCAGCCCTGGCTGGTGTGACTCAGTGGATTGAGTGCCACCCTGAGAACCAAGGGGTCACTGGTTTGATTCCCAGTCAGTGCACATGCTTGGGTTGTGGGCCAGGTCCCCAGCAGCGGGTAGAGGCAATGACACATCGATGTTTCTCTCTCTCTCTTTCTCCCTCACTACCCCTCTCACTAAAAATAAGAAAATCTTCAAAAAAATAAATTCATTATGTTAACTATATGACATAATAAATAAATTTAGGGATTCTGTTTTTTCCACAATGAGAATTAGTGGAATAATTTAGTGCTAATATGATTTGCAGCAAAACAGAAGGACCAAAAAGACTCAATTTTATTTTCTCTCTTCGGCATTAAAAACCAACTGTATTATTTTCCAAATGATCAGAACATTTCAACAAGACAAGACTTGTGTAATTCACGAAATGAACACTATTGTCTGGGGAGGCATAAAAATAGCAAATATAAGACAGGCTACCCATTGAATTATGAAATCCAATAGTAATGATTAAACACAAAGTAATTTATACTCAGAAAATAAAAATATTAATCCAAGAAATAAAATTCTGAAAAATCCTTTTTCCCTCCCTTTAAGGTGATTTATTGGAAGTATGAAAACAAATAGGCTTTTGTTTCTCTTTTATGAATATTCAGAAAAAACATGTTCTCCAAATTCTACGCAATAAGTTCTCTTTTCAAGAATATTAATTTTAGAGATAAACTAAGAAAAGTATATGCAAAGAATGGCATAGAAAGAGATAAGACAAATGTACATCATACATTAAGAAAATCTAATATACAAAACTCCAAATTTACTTACTAAAGTACTAATATGTGTTTACACTACACAGTTAGGTTTATAAAAGGATTCAATACAGATTTCTTAAATGGCCGTTTTCCTCAACAAAGGCAAATGTAAAACATGTTAATGTCTCTTTGAGACACTGATCCACGCTTCTTCCTTGGCGGATGTCACCAGTTCATACTTGGCTTCAACAGCCTGCCCCTCCACAGGGAGGAGGTGCAGGCTCCTCACCAACACACTCAGCAGTACTGTGCTCACCGTGTATGCAAACCTAGTCGGGAAGAGAGTTGACTGGTCACTAAAGATGAACAATCGCACTTTACTTATGCAGACTGCTCGTTCCTCATCAGCTTTATCAGTATGAGGTCTGACGCCTCTCCTTTCACTTCACTCGCTCTATCATCTCACCTCAACTCGGGGCACTCCTGTGTGCCTGAGAACCCAAGCAAGGAGAAAGTTTTCCTTATCGATGCATCATCAAATCGGTCTGGATCAAACCTAAAAAGAAGATTGGGATTTAGTTTTCAAAAAGTCACCTCAATATATCTAATTCATTAATTTATTTTATTTTATTTATTTATTTTTAGAGAGAGGGGAAGGGAAGGAGAAAGAGTGGGAGAGAAACATCAATGTGTGGTTGCCTCTCACACATCCCCCACTGGGGACCTGGCCTGCAACGCAGGCATGTGCCCTGACTGGGAATCGAACCAGCCACCCTTTGCTTCACAGGCCCGTGCTCAATGCACTGAGCTACACCAGCCAGGGCAATATATTTAATGTATTAAAAAAAGAAGTTTGACAAGGGGACAGTGACCAGAGGGGAGAGGGAAGGGAATTTAAGGGGAAAAAGGGGGAAGGATTTGGAGGAACAAATAGGAAGGACACAGGGATGAGAACTAAGGGGGGTGGAAATGGGAGGAAGGTGGGGAGCATGGGGCGGGGGGGGGGCTGGGATGGGAAAAATAGACAAAAAACTGTACTTGAAAAATAACTAAATAAAATTAAAAAATATATATTCTGGCATAACAAATTTAAACAATGTGAAACACAAGAGATTAAAAATGTGGTGCAGTCATATCACCAACCTCGTCTGGCACTGAAAATGCAGATGTTAGAGGAAACGCTAGAAAGTATTCCATTTGAATATAACAGCTCTGAATTTTTCTCATGTATCTTTGTTCTAACTCTCACAATATTCATATGCCAATGAGATCTTTGTGATTTTTATTTTTGGAGTTATTAACTTGTCAGATTGCACTGCTTTTTTCTAGGTCTAAAATCATAACTTCTGTTTTAGAAGAATACAAGAGTTACTGTTTTGTGATTAAAATCACCACTTTCAAATTAAAAAAAAAAGTTTGAGGGCTAATCACAATAGAGCTCCATTGGTGATTTACATATTTACACTGTAAGAACACAGGAATGCAATAAACTTTAAAATCTACTTAAAATAAAAACTGCTGTCGCATTACACTTATATTTTACTTATTATTATGTTCCCAAATTATTCAACATAGTCTCTTTCTGTTTATTTTATTAGCCTAAATAATAGATGCAAAATACATTTCTCTAGAACTAGCAATGAATAAAATTTTAACACGGTTTATACATCATTATATGAGACATAAGGATAAATCATACAAAAGCATGTAATAAATATTTAAATTTAAGTGTTCAAAATATCTGTTACATGAAACCATCTGATCAATATGCAAGGCATTCTACATTGCCTCATCAATTAAATTTATTTCCTAAAATCAAAGACACCTGGCTTAAAATTATATTCATCTATTACATTACATGAAAATTTGCTAATAAGTGACAAAAATAAAGAAACAAAGTTTTTTTATTGTACAGAACTTCCTCCTGTAAAACACTGCAGAAAAAAGAATATATTAAAACAAAACAAATAAACCACCCGCTATGAAGCATAAAATTTCACCTCCAAAACAGTTGTTTCTTTGAAAAGATAAACCAAATTGATAAACATTTAACCAGACTCATCAAGAAAAGAAGAGAGAGGACCATAATAAATGAAATCAGAAATAAAGCTACTTGCTCCCCAAACCTGGACTGGTCTCCGACTGCTAAATCCGAGAGCAATCAACTTGAAGAACCAGCAGAGGGTGAGTGACAGCACATGTCAGTGTGTACCTGGATGAGAAACCAGGGAATGTGTGTGAGCGGGCAAGAGCCTGGCCGACTGTCTGCAGGGCACTTGTGAGCAGGAGGCCCTGGTTCTTCTAGTGGAGCAACTGCCCCTGCCACTGCGCAACCCAGCTCCTCTGGTTGTGCAGATTCGGGGCAACTGTGGATGGGCTCAGGAGCCAGGAGCTCCAGGGGCAGAGAGAGAGAGAGAGAGCGCACGGCTGAGGAGGTGCTGAATGCAAAAACAGCACAGCGAGAGCAGGCCCACCCAAGGCTGAGAATCACTGGAGGGAGCAAGCAGAGCACCCTGCCACTGTCCTGTGTTATAGCATTGCTGCGGGACTATAACTCACCATGCCAGCCAGGAGAGATCCAGAGAGAAGCCTTACCTGAAACTGTCGGAGGCTCTGGAAGGCTGTGGGCAACTGAGAGAGACTGAGAGAGACTTTGTGATTTGGGGGAAGGAGGAGCACATGGAAAGCAGGTCCCCCAGGGCTAGGTGGTGCAGCGTGGGGGGGTCACACAGCAACTGTTTGAAAAGAGGAGCTGAAGCAAGACTCGAGACTCGGCAGGGACCCAGAGATCATGTGTGTGTATGTGTGCACAGAGCGCATGTGTATACACAGAGGTTCTGACAACAAAGAACTCAGAGGGACAGTCATAGAGTCAAGCTGGAGGGACTGTGGGACCCAACCCAGCATGGATAGTGTGCAGGCGACTATACAGAGGGTAGAGTCTGGGGACTGGATGTATGGGAGCTGAATGCCTGAGATACACTGCAGCCAGACAGGTCCCCTCACAGGCAGCCAAACCCAACAGGCACCTGTGGGATTATAGGCTCTGCAGATCAGCGAGGCTAGGCTCAGGAGGCCCCTGCTGGGTGCATTTCCAACGGGGAAAGACACAAAAGCTGTGGAAGGGCTCTTTTTACCAGACCCTAAGAGCTACACTGTTCCTTGGGCTCTGATCCACTGAAACCACAGAGCAGAGAGATCAAAGACAGCTGCAACAAGGGGTGTTCAGGGCCCTGCCCAGCATCCGCACCTAGACAGAGCTGTTGCCAGCCCCAAGCAGGAAAGAGAAACCCCTTTTACAGACTGGTCCCTCACAGGAAATGGACAGCTAATTCACCAGAAACCATACATTATTGGAAAGAATCTGGGACAGACCAAGATGTATGGCAAGAGAATGGGGAAATACTCCCACCATCTTCCTTGAAGACTGAACGGTGTGCCCCAGGGGTGACTCAGGGTTCCCAACTGCCTGATCGCACCTGAGGCCCTCTCTAGGGGCAAATGGAGAAGGTACTGGCAGTCCTCGTGGGTCATTAAATGAAGGAATGCCGGCAAGGCAGAACAGTGGTAACCAGCCAAATCTGAAGGAGACAACCACAGACCGTGGATTGCTCGTAGTTGAAGAGGATGCCTAGAGCCAGACTGGGACACCATCTAACAGGGGCAGATCCAGAAAGAGAAGACAGTGGTAAACACGAGATTCTACTGAGATAGAGTCCGCCATGGTCTTCTTCATTATTTGCATTATTTTTTCTACTGTGTAGCTTTTTTAACATTCATTCCTTTTCCTTCAAGTTTGTGCCTATTATTTTACAAAATTTTATATTTTACTTTAATTCAAATCTCATACATTGTTCCTCCCTCCTCTTATTCTATTTTTACCTTCTTCCTTCCTCTTCTTATTTTGATTTAATTTTTTTCTCTTGCTACAAACTGTTTCTATTCTGCACTCTTACTGTTTCTCCTTCTTCCAACCTTCATTTTTCATGTCATTAGTCATCTCACACCCCAGTTTTAAAATATCCTTATTCTCTCACCACCTTTATCAATCTTTACTTCTTTGTTGTTGCATGATAGTTGTTGTTGCATTTTTTAAACTTTATTTCTAGATCTTCCCTATTTTTGTATTTCAAATCTCAAATTTTACCATTCCCCTCTCCAAATCTATTTGCCTTCCTTCTGCCATTTCTTTTTTTTGTTTTAAATTTTAATTTTTTCCTGTCTTAGCCTGTTTTCATTCTTCATTCTTAATATTTCTTCTCTCTCTAACCTCTCAAAATATTTTTTCTTTCCTTTAGAAGTCTCTTAAGCTTTTCTTTCTTCCTTTTTTCCTTTTTACTCCCATTTCACCTATATTAATGTTTGATCATTTGTTGTTGATATTACTGAGGTGGCTTTAATTTGGTTCCTGTTTTTTGCACTATATATTTTCTAAATTTTTGTTTAAACCTCATACTATGCTCTTCACTTTTCTTACTTTTTATTTTCTTTCCTTCTTCGCCTTATTTCTATTCCCTACTCTTATTATATTTCCTCTCTCTACCCTCTCAAAATCATTTTTCTTTGTTAGTCATCTCATATTCATTTTTCCTTTCTTATAATAGTCTTAATCTCTTTACACCTTTATTAGAATTTGCTCATTTGCTGTTAGTGTGATTGTGGGTGGGGGTTCTTTTCACCGGTGTGGGTTTGTTTCCTGGGTTGTTCAGTTTAGTCTAGAAGCACCTGTACAACAGCATTCAAGATGTGGTAGGCAGTGTGACTCTCAGTCGGCCAGCCAGAGGGAAGGACCCGTCAATGAACATCCCAACAATCAAACCCAATTAAAACTGGAAACCTCAAAAATGGCATAAGGGACATTCCAAGGGCATCCAGCTAAGGAGATCAAGGAGACTGCATCACTGAGTCCCACAGGTCTCCTACGACAGAAAGTCACACCATAAAGATAAGAAGTCAAAGCAGATCAACCTAAGAAGCAAAAACAAACAAGAAGAGTCACCTAAAATGGGCAGACAAAGAAATAACACCCCAGAAAGAGCGCTAAATGAAATTGAGGCAAGAAAACTAGCAGACACTTAATTCAAAATAATGGTTATAAGAATGTTCAAGGAGCTTAGTGAAAACTACAAGGAACTTACTAGGAACTATACCAGCATGAAAAAGGACACAGAAACTATCTATGCGAGCCAGAAGGAAATGAAGAATATAATATCTGAAATGAAGAATATATAAGAAAGAATTAAAAGCAGTCAAGATGAAGCAGAAGACTGAATCAGCAAGCTAGGGTACAAGGTAGGAAAAAACTCCCAGACAGAGCAACAAAATGAAAAAAGACTCAAAAAGAATGAAGAGGAAGATACAATAAATGGAAGTATATACTGTGTTCGTGGATTGAAAGCATTAACATCATTAAAATGTCCATACTACCCAAAGCAATCTACAGATTCAACACAATCCCTATTAAAATACCAATGACATATTTCACAGATCTCTAACAAATATTTAAAAAATTTGTATGGAACCAAAAACTATTCCAAAAAGCCTCAGCAATCTTGAGAAAGAAGAACTAGGAGGGATCACAATACCTGATATCAAACTATACTACAAGGCCACTGTAATCAAAACAGCATGGTACTGGCATAAAAACAGACATATTGCTCAATGGAATAGAATAGAGAGCCCAGAAATAAACCCACACCTATACTGTCAATTAATATTTGACAAAGGAGGCAAGAACATCAATGGGGTAAAGATAGTCTATTGAATAAATGGTGTTGGGAAAATTGGACAGATACATGCAAGAAAATGAAACTAGATCACCTTCTTATACCATACATTAAAGACTTAAATGTAAGAAAACATAGTAAAATCTCTGAAATTTCTCTTAGCAATATTTTTTCTGACATATCTCCTTGGATAAGGAGAAAAAAGAAAAAAAACAAACAAATGAGACTACATCAAACTAAAAAGTTTTTGAAAGCAAAGGAAAACCATCAACAGAACAAAAAGACAACATACTGAATGAAAGAAGATATTCACCAATGATACATCTGATAAAGGGTTAATATCTAAAATTTATGAAGAACTCATAATATAACACTGAAAACAAAACAAAACAAATAATCCAATTTAAAAAATGGTCAGTGGACCCCAACAGACACTTCTCCATAGAGGACACACAGAGGGCCAGTAGACATATCAAAAGATGCTCAATGTTACCAGTCATACAAGGAGTGCAAACTGTTTGGTATGTTTTAATATTTCCTCTTTATTGAAATTCTCACTTTGTTCATGGACTGCTCTCCTGATCTCCTGAGCATCATTATGATTATTATATTGAATTCTCTATTGTATAGATCACTTATATCCATTTCCTTAAGATCAGTTTCTGAGGATTTATCTTGCTCTTTTCTTTGGAATGTATTCCCTTGTTTCTTCATTTTGGATGGCTTTCCGTGTTGGTTCCTTCACATTACATAAGACAGCCACCTCTTCCAGTCCTGACAGAAGTCTTGTGTAGGAGATAAATCTAACTAATTAGCGCAGCCTGAGCTCCTGACTGCCTGTCAAACTTCTGTGATTATTCAAGTTGCTGTCTTCATTTTGTAGTAGCTCCCAGTAGTTGAGGGCACACCAAGTCCTGTCTGTGTCTAAATGAAGAGGGCCACAGTCAGCACCTAGATGCAGACTGATTCTGGACCATCAGACAGCAGCTGAGAGAGTATGTAGCCAAACTTCTTCCAAGGAGAAATTGGGATATAGGAATTTTTGTCTGTTTTCTCTGTGTGGGACTCAGGGGTATAGCCACAGGGGTGCTCCTGTACCCATTTAAAAATGGTTTCTTTCTTTGCTATATAGTCTTGTGGGACTTATGAATGCCAAGTCCCACTGGCTAACTAGCTAGTAATAAAGGCCTATCCGTAAAAGCTGAACTGCTAGATGTGCGGACAAGTTCCTTCTTGGAGATATTGGCAAGTTGGCTTTATTGTTGTAGCAAGAAGACAGCAGAAGTGCCCATCAGCTATTTCAAGCATGAGGGAAGATGACAGTTAGCACCTAGATGTGTAGTGATTAGAGGCCAGACCCTCAGCCAGCAGCTTGTGAGGTATGCAGTCTAATCTCCTCCAGAGAAAGACGGGGGAGATGGCCATTTTTGCCTGTTCCTTCTGCATGAACCTTGGGGGCGAGACACTGCAAGTACCTGCATGCATGTTAACACTGCTTCTTTGTTTGCTATAGTCCTGTGAGACTCATGAACACAAGCCCCAGTCAGTAGCTATCAGAGCTAAGTGATTTGTGGCATGACCCTCAGATAGCAGCTGGAAAAGCTGGGGAACTAGATGTGCACACAAAGGAGACGCTGGTGACTCAGTTTTGCTGTTGGAGTGAGCCAGGGGAAGAAGCTGCCCACTGGCTCCTTCCAGCTCAGAGATCACAGCCAGTAATTAGATGTGTGCTAATTAGAAGCTGGACTCTCAGGCAGCAGCTTGTAAAGTATGCAGTCAACCTTCTTCCAGGGAAAGAAAGACTGGCATGGATGTTTTCGCCTTTTCTCTCTGCACCGAACCTGGGGCACAGCTCGGTGAGTGCTTTCATCGTGCCTTCACTAAGAACTGCTGCTGTTTGCTACAGTCCTGTGGCACTCCCACACAATACCGACAGCTTTCAGAGCCAGGTGTTTTGGGAGCCCATCTCTCAGAGGCGAGAGTCTTCAAAGTTGGGGCACTAAATGTACGGTCCAAACCCTTTTCCTCAGGAAAAAGCTGGGAATTGAGGGTTGCTGACTAATTGTATGGCCCTGTACTATGGTGGGATTTATGGCAAGATTTGTCTTAGCTTTTCCTACGTGTTTCAATGAGGGCATTTTCTCACTTGTCCACTGTATAGAAGTCACTCAGCTACTTTGTGGATTTCTCTAAGAAGGAACTGCTTGTGCACAGCTGTACATCCAGTGTGTCAGGGGGAAGAGACTCAGGAGCCTGCTGTGCACGTCACCACCTTGTCCCAGTCCACTCTGAGAGGTTTCTCACGTTGCCTTCATTCTTTTCAGTTGAGAATTTTAGTTTATTTGGTTTTTTAAAGATTTTATTTATTTATTTTTAGACAGAGGGGAAGGGAGGGAGAAAGAGAGGGAGAGAAACATCAATGGGTTGCCTCTGTTTGCACCCCAAAGAAATGAAACCCTGTGTTCACATAAAATCTGCACATGAATAATCATAGAAATTTCATTCTGAATAGCAAAATCCTAGAAAGAACCCACACGCCCTTCAGTGGGTGAAAGGATGAACAAACCCTGGTGCATACATACAAGAGAATACCACTCAGCCGTAAAAAGATATGCAACACCTACGCTGCCCTCAGGAGCATTAAGTTTAGTAAAAAAGTCAATCTCTTCATTCTCCTCTGTGTGACAAATATATTTAAACTGTAATTAGTTGTCTCCACAAGGTCTATCTCAGTCCCATGTACATTTTTGTTAGTGTGAATTGTCTCTCAGGATCATCTCAAAGTGCTGATAAGAATGAAACTCTAGATCTTCTAAAAGGGATGGGAAAGGAGGTACCTAACTTCAGAAAGCTTTTCCATATCATACAACATAATTACTAATACGTTCTAAATTTGATTACATTTGGTTCCTAAAAATGATTTCCACATTTTAACATATATTCTTTTCAGATTTTTCAACTTGCAACCTAAATTTTCTGATCCACAAATGCCTATCTTTAATTGTGCTATAAAAGCTACCTGCAATATAAATATACTCAATTTTCACTTATAACATATTTTGAAGGATTGCTATTTCATTTATGAATAGACTTCCTTTACTATCATTACAATATTAAAAGCTAAAATGACAGGCACACTTAATAGGTCCCATGCTTATCCTCCAGAAGTAGGTTTCTAGCACCTCAGCCACGCCACTAGCCCTGCCCCCTGCATTATACGTGGCTGTCCTACCCTTAATCAACTCAATGCATAACCTTCTTCCAGGACAGTACATCTTAATCCATGTCCCTAAGATGTTACTAGATGCTTACCTAGGAGGCAAACAAAAGCAGCTCTGTTCTTCAATTTTTTTCCCTCCTTGCCATTCTCACACACAACACTTATACACACAAAACCTACTGTATGAATTTGATTAAAGCACTTAATAATTGAAACCAATAGTAGGAAAACAAAGAAACTATGTAAGTTATATCTATTTAACCCTCCCAAAAAAAGAATTCCAAAATTCCACTAAAATTAAAAAGTAGTTGTAGAGATCAGGTAGTTAAACAGACCTTGGGTTAGAAGCAGTAATAAGAGAGACAAAGAGGAGCAGACAGCAGGTTCATAGAAAAAGGAGTGAGAAGATTTAAAGGGAAGATACAACTGTACCTTTGACACATATTAAACTTTCTCCTCAAAACTTAGAAAAGGAATGCAAAACATAAAACACATAAGAATCAATAATCACAATGACAGTGATGGATATTTCATACTTGTATGGTGATGGCCAAGTACTGGGGTCCTGAAGTACCACACCAAGGGCGTAAAGAACAAGGGTCTGCAAAACAATAAGTACTCTAGTTAGTGAAGGCCTCACAGACACAAAATGACTCCAGAAAGTCAGCTCATCCTAAACGCTCATTTCATATAAAAATATATACAAAGTAAAAATATAAAATAATAAAAGAAGACAGAGGCTTATTATTTTGGTAATCTTGTAGTGGGGAAGGCATCTGTGAGCATATCACAAAAGCCATAAAGTAATAGCAGAATAAACTACACAAAAATTTAAAAAACTGCATCTAGTTAAAACAAAACAAAACATACCATAAACATCAGTAAGAGTAAATAATATCAAGAAAAATATTTGCCATATAACTGACAGTATGTGTAATATGTAAAAAGACCTATAAGTTCACTAGAAAGAATAGTGACTTAGAAGCAGATAATTCACAAAGGAAAAAAGAAAAAATACAAACTGGTAATACAGATATAAAAAGCTGCTCGATCTCTCCAATGATTAGGGAGTAGCAAATTAAAATCATAAGACAGTTTTATATAAACTTCACAAAACATGTAATAAGGTTCATAAAGCTAGTGGTGAGGATATGGAGAGAAAGTTCACACATTATTGATAAAAATAAAAAATGCCTATTAGATGATAATTTATTTATTTTTTAAATATATTTTATTGATTATGCCATTACAGTTGTCCCATTTCCCCCCTTCATTCCCCTCTACCCTGCACACACCCTTCCCCACAATTCGCCCCCTTTAGTTCATGTCCATGGGTCATACATACAAGTTCCCTAGCTTCTACATTTCCTATATTATTCTTACTCTCTCCCTATCTATTTTCTACCTACCATTCCCTCCCCTCCTCTCCCACTCCCCTGTTGCTAACCCTCCAGGTGATCTTCATTTCTGTGGTTCTGTTCCTGTTCTAGTTGTTTGCTTAGTTTGCTTTTACACTAAACTATTTTTTAAAGATTTTATTTATTTATTTTAGATAGATGGGAAAAGAGAGAGAAAGAAAGGGGGAAAATATTGATATGTGAGAGAGGTACATCAATTGGTTGCCTCTTAAAGGCCCAACTGGGGACCTGGCCCACAACTCAGGCACGTGCCCTGACCAGGAATCAAACCTGTGATGTTTTGGTTCACAGGCCAGCACTCAATCCACTAAGCCACACCAGCCAGGGCAACACTAAATTATTAAGAGCAGTACGCATGGGAAAGGGGGTTTTCCTTTATATTGAACATTAAAACAAGCATAAGAGGTATGTCTAAAAAAAGTCCAGCCATTATTAATATACCATATTTTGCCATGTATAATGTGTACTTTTTGCCCAAATTTTTTAGGGAAAAATAAGAATGCACATTATACATGGATAGTACTAATTCCAAATCTATATAAATATTTTTAATTCATTTATTTATGCTTATGTGTTAAAAGTGTAACTCTAGAAAGCAATAACGATATCCATATGCAAAACAATACCCTGGAATATGATAACTGGTTTTGTTTCTAAATATAAATAAATAAATAATTGAATTAAAAAATTAAAACAAAGGTTTTTTTTTCTTGAAAGTTTGGCCAAAAACATGGGTGCACATTAAACATGGCAAAATATAGTAACAAGAATGGTTTGCACAACATTGATATAACCTGGCAGCCAAGGGGAGTGGACTGGGATGAGCATGAATGAACAATGATGACTTCACTGTACTAGTCGGTGGAGGCAGCAGACACCATTGAGTGAACACGTGTACTGTGTGGCAATCGCATTCAGAATAATCAAGCAAGTAGAGAAACAAATCTGCATCAAATTTTGCATTAAGCTTGAACATTCCTCCAAGGAAACTATTTGGATAATTCAGAAAGCTGCGACTGTGGGCTACTGGTGATTGGCAGCTTCATCATGAAAACACACCTGCTCATGCATCACATCTCATGCAGAGTTTTTTAGCTAAACATCAAATCACCCAGGTGACTCAGCCCCAGAACACCCCAGATCTGGCACCCTGCAACTTCTGTTTTTTTCCAAAATTAATCACCTTTAAAAGGGAAGAGATTTCAGACCATCAGTGAAATTCAGCAAAATACAACAGAGAAGCTGATGGAGATTGGGAGAACTGTGTGAAGTCCCAAGGTGCCTACTCTGAAGGGGACAGAGGCATCATTATCCTATTGTACAATCCTTCTTGTGTCTTCTTCAGTAAATGTCTCTTATTTTTCATATTATATACCTGGATACTTCTAAACAGACCTTGTATATTATTTTGTCATTTAAAATTATTGTTTTTCTTTGCCTCCTCACACAACCAAAATAAGGACAACAACAAATTTGAAAAAAGAAACAAAAACTGCCAGAAAAATCAAACTGTATGGAAGTCCGACAATCAAAAAGTTAAAGAAACATCCATCTAGACCAGTATGAGGGGTGGAGACAGGCAGCCGGGGTGGAGAGGACTTGCTGCAAGGCTGTGGCTGTAGGACCAGGGCGGGGAAGGCAGCAGCTGGCAGAGTGGGTGAGGCTGGGGCTGGTGGAGCAGGCAGTCCCACATGTGCATGCAGATAAATTGAGAGGAACAACTAGGGAATGCGACAGACCATGGGCTCCAGTGCAGGGAAAGAAAGCCTCAAAACCTTTGACTAAAAAATATCTGTGGGGGTTGAGACAGCAGGAGATACTCCCAGCCTCACAGGAAAGTTCACTGGAGAGATCCACAGGGTCCTAGAAAGTATACAAAACCACTCACCTGGGAATCAGCACCAGAAAGGCCCAATTTGCTAGCGGGTAGCAGAGGAAGTGACTGAAAAGTGGCAGAGAGCTGAGCAAGTGGCATTGTTTGCTCTCAAACCCCTCCCCCACTTACAGCACCACAGCACATCAATGTGGTTTGCTCCACTCTGGCAAATACCTAAAGCTCCGCCCCTTAATACATAACAGGTGCACCGAGACAAAATAATATGGCCCAAATGAAAGAACAGATCAAAATTCTAGAAAAAATACAACTAAGTGATGAAGAGATGCCCAACCTATCAGATGCAGAGTTCAAAATACTGGAAATGAGAATGCTCACAGAAATGGTTGAGTATGGTCGTAAAATAGAGGCAAAAGTGAAGGTTATGCAAAGTGAAATAAAGAAAAATATACAGAGAACCAACAGTGAAGGGAAGGAAACCAGGACTCAAATCAACGATTTGGAGCAGAAGGAAAAAATAAACATCCAACCAGAACAGAATGAAGAAACAAGAATTCAGAAAAATGAGGAGAGGCTTAGGAGCCTCCAGGACAACTTTAAACATTCCAACATCCGAATCAGAGGGGTGCCAGAAGGAAAAGAGGAAGAACAACAAATTAAAAACTTATTTGAAAACATAATAAAGGAGAACTTCCCTAATCTGGCAAAGAAAATAGACTTCTAGGAAGTCCAGGAAGCTCAGAGAGTCCCAAAGAAGGTGGACACAAGGAAGAACACACCAAGCTATATCATAATTACATTAGCCAAGATTAAAATGAAGGAGAGAATTCTAGAAGCGGCAAGAGAGAAGAAGAGGGTTACCTACAAAGGAGTTTCCATAAAACTATCAGCTGATTTCTCAAAAGAAATCTTACAGGAAAAAAGAGGCTAGAAAGAAGTATTCCAAGTCATGAAAGGCAAGGACCTACATCCAAGATTACTCTATCCAGCAAAGCTTTCATTTAGAATAAAAGGACAGATAAAGTGCTTCCTAGATAAGGTCAAGTTAAAGGATTTCATCATCACTAAGCCCTTATTATATGAAATGTTAAAGGGAATTACCTAAGAAAAAGTAGATAATCAAAACTATGAACAGTAAAATGACAACAAACTCGCAACTATCAACAACTGAACTAAAACAAAAACAAAAACTAATCAAACAACTAGAACAGGAAATGGAGATCACATGGGGATTATCAGCTTGGAAGAGGGGGGATAATGGGGAAAAGGTACAGGGTAATAAGCAGCATAATGGGTAGGTACAAAATAGACACAGGAAGGTTAAGAACAGTATGGGAAATGGAGAAGCCAAAGAAATTCTGTGTATAAACCACTGACATGAACTAAGGTAGGGAATCCTGGTGGGAGGGGGATACGAAGCTGAAGGGAATATAGTGGAGGAGAAAATGGGACAACTGTAATAGCATAATTAATAATATGTATTTAAAAATAAAATGACTGTGTCTTAGATTTAATAATAGGTAGCATTCACTGGACACTTTATTTTATTTATTTTTTTTTCAGTGTTAAATTTGTCTACATGCTCATTTCAGGTCAGACACATGATCAACATTACAATACTGGACACTTTAAAAAATAAAATTTAAAAATATAGACTAAATAAATTGAAGAGAATAACTGAATGAGTTAAGTATATCAAATGTTTCCTACCTCTCTAGGAATAACAAATTTGTCAATCTTTCCTTCAGTTACTTGAAGCCGGGCAGAAACTGGAGTCAGTTTGGCAGTTCGAACAGTTTCACAAAGTACCTGCCGACAATATCTGTTTAAAAAAATTTTATTTGAAGATTTACTTTGGGAGAAGCCATTTGAAAGGTACGTACATTGCAAAATGTTATTCAACAACTTTCGTAACCTTCCTAATTTGAAACAGTCACATGATAATTCTTTCTTGTTTGAAGATATGCTATACATTAGAAGTACATTAAGTCTAGCTGAGTAAAGATTTAAACAAATAAAAACATCTTTAAAAGTACCAGAAGAGCCCTGGCTGGTGTGGCTCAGTGGATTGAGTGCTGGCCTATGAACCAAAGTGTGGCTGGTTCGATTCCCAACCAGGGTACATGCCTGGGTTGTGGACCAGGTCAGGTCCCCAGTGTGGGGTACACGGAAGGCCCCCACACACTGATGTTTCTCTCCCTTTCTTTCTCCCTCCCTTCCACTCTGCCTAAAATAAATAAATGAAATCTTTTTTAAAAAGCACTAGAAGAAAACTCAAAACAACATTTATATAATTTTTGAGTAGAAAAGTCCTTTATTTTTAATATGGGATTTAGTAAAAATTTTTATAAAGGACTCTTCTAATCAAAAATTATATAAATATTGATACAATGATAGAAAACAAAGAAAAATACAGACAATCTGATTATGGAATTATAAAAAATATATTTTGCAATCATATGTAAAATTAAAAAACAACTAGAAAAAATATTTACAATAAATATTTAATGTAGCAAAGCTCTTTAAAAACCCATAATTAAAATAATCAAACATTCCAACAGATATATGGACAGAGAAAAAGCAATTAACAAAATAATACAAATGGCCTACAAACATACGAAATGATACTCAACCTCACTAACAATGGAAAGACTGCCAATCAAAGCATTGTTTTTACTTGCTGGATTAAGAAAGATGAAAAAGAATGACAATAGACAACACTTCCCCATATTTAATAAAAAATGGGGAAAAAGCCCTGGCTGGTGTGGCTCAGTAGATTGAGCGTGGGCCTCTGAACCAAAGGGTAGCTGGTTCGATTCCCAGCCGGGGCACATGCCTGGGTTGTTTCTCTCCCTCTCTTTCTCCTTACCTTCTCCTTTCTAAAAATAAATAAATAAAATCTTTTTTTAAATGGGAAAAAATACATACATAGTGAATGTATGCAATACATTCATATTTAGAAATATAAATTGGTATAATCTTTCTGAAGGGTAATTTGGCGATTTATAGTATAAAAATACTAAGTATGCATCACAAGTGAAGAATAAAACTAAAATATATTGAAATCTTGCCATAAGCCAGTTCTGTCAGTTTCCATGCAGTATCTTTTTTAATCCTTAAAAGAACCTCATAGATCTTATTATTTTAATTTTACAGATTAAAAAATGAGGAATTATAGTATTGCATATATCCTTAAATAACAACCTCATTATTATTTATTAATAGAAACAATTACTGTATTTTGTTGTGTATAATGTGCTCCCATGTATAATACATAGCCACGTTCTGTGTGCGTTATACACAGGATTATTATACCCATGGTATGTAATCAGACCCATGTATAATGTGCATACTTATTTTTCCCTAAAAAATTCGGCCAAAAAAGTGTGCATTATACATGGCAAAATACGGTAGAAATGTTAGCAAAGATGCAAGCATAGGAATACTGATTGTTTATAATATCTAAAAACAACAAAAACCAAACAGGAAATATTCTTCCTTTACTCATTGAACAAATATTTATTAAGTATGTACTACATTAGGACCACTGTGTTAGATACTCAGCCACGGCAATGAACAAGACAGATACCCTCAAAGGAAGTCAAAGTCTAGTTGACAGGGAGGGGAGAAAAGCAAGAAAATCAAGGACAAACAATTACCAAAGCACAGTAACTGTTACAATACAGAAAGTTCTAGTAGGAACCACATGGAAGGAGCACCTAACTAGAGAAAGAACTATGCAGAAAAATAAACACTTAGACTGAGACCTGCAGAAAAAAAGGGAGGAAAAGAGAATCTAGACAAAGAAATAGTTTGCCAAAGCCAGAAGATATAAGAGTATTTGGAGAAACAAAAGAATTTCAGTAGAGCTGAATCCAAGGCTATGAACAGGCATGAGTAAGAAGAAATAAAATAGGAGAAGAATGCAAAGCTTAGCTGTTGAAATGCCTGCCTCATAAGCTATGTTAGTTTAAGATTATCTTAATGGCAACCAGAAGTCACTGAAGGGTTTTAAGCTGGAAAGTTATCTAATCAGATGTGACTCCCAGATATATAAAGATTACTCCAGCATAGTGACTCTCAACTTTGGCTACATAGTAGAATCATCTGGGAAGCTTTTGAAAACCTCCGATGCTACAAATTATTGGTTTGGGATTGCTCCCAGGTTATCTGTATTTTTAAAGCACCTGAAGTGATAACAGTATACAGTCACAGGCTCCAGTAGCAATTTGGAGAAATGAACTGGAAGGGAGCAAGATGCAAAACTGTTGAAGTATCCCAGACAAGATGATTGTGGTCTGAATAAAACGGGCACAACGGAAAGAACTAAAATAAACTTCCCACTAAAAGTTGTTTAGAAAGTAGAATCAACAAAACTAGATCATTGACTGGTTGTGCTGGAATTACTACTTATACGAATACTGTCCATAAAATATTTAGGAAAAATGGAATTCACAAGAGAGTTATATATTACATATTTTTGGTAATGTTTTTAAATTTTTTGTTGCAAATATATATGTGTATATGCACAGAAAAATCTGGAAAAGTAGTAAAATAGTTAACAATTTTTATCCCTAAGGGTACATGTACCTCTGCTTTGGCTGGGTGGCTCATTTGGTTGGAGCATGGTCCTGTCCACCAAAAAGTTGTGGGATCGATCCCTGGTCAGGGCACATATCTAGGCTGTGGGTTCGATCCCAGGTCAGGGTGCATACGGGAGGCAACCAATCAATTTCTCATTCTCGTATCGATCTTTTTCTCTCTCTTTCTCTAGCTTCCTCTTTCTCCAAAGTCAATAAACACATTCTTGGGTGTGGATTAAATAAATTTTTTTTAAAGAACAAATAATGTACCTTCTACACCTTCTACTTCATACAATTCTGTATTATAAAAATTTCAAAGAACAACTATGTACTACTTTTAAAATTAAAGGTAGTTATATTAATATAATAAACAACACTTCCAACCTTTTGAAAAATTTGCAACAGAAGCCTCCCATGAAACCCATGGCTTCAAGTTTTTTCCAATGGCTATATCCCGATCTTCATTTTTTGTAGTTGAAAGATGCTCCAAATTAGGGTTGCTTGTTACCCAGTCTCAGGCTCCAATTTGCTAAGCAGTCACAGCTGCTATTTTAAAAAATCTTTTCAAATATTACTTACATATAAAAAGTCATCTATATTTTAGCCCTGGCTGGTGGGGATCGGTGGATCGAGTGCCAGCCTGTAAACCAAAGAGTCACTGGTTCAATTCCCAGTCAGGGCACATGCCTGGGTTGCAGGCCAGGTCCCCCGTAGGAGGCATGCAAGAGGCAACCACATTAATATTTTTCTCACTCTCTTTCTCCTTCCCTATCCCTCTCTTTAAAAATAAGTAAAATTTTTTTTAAAAGTCATCTAGTACTTCAAAATAATTTTTATTTTTAAATTATAGTTGACATACAGCATTGTTAGTTTCTGGTTTCACATATATGTGAAGTCTTTAAAAATTCATTTATTTTAGCTGTATATTTTATACTTCTTAGTAATTGCACACAATTGTGTAACCACTAAACAAGAAAGACATAGAAGAACACTCCCTCATCCTGAACCTTTACTCGTGCCCCTTTGTAGTTGACCCCTCTGCATTCCTTGCCCCCGAGAAGCACTGATCTGCTTTCTGTCACAAGTTCTGCCTCTTCTATCATCTCACCCAAACAGAATCACAGTGTAGGCAATCTCTGTGTCTGACTTCTTCCTCTTAGCACGAGATTTTCCATGTTGTTGTGTGTATTGATAACACTCTGTTTTTTATTTTAAAAACATTATTTTCCTTACATCATTTAAGAAAAGTAATTCTATGTTGTACTCAACTACATTATAAGTAGATTTAATGGAGAAGTATTATTTTATGGCCTTTTGCCTATAAATATAAAAATAAGACAACAATGTAAGTCATACATTTCTTCAAGGTGACCCCTCCGTCTGTTTTCGGCAGTTAGAGGAGGGGAGGGCAGGCTTCTCTGTGCCTCCCCTGGTGTTTCTTGAGCCCTGGCAGCGATGTTTTCTGTAATTGGTTTTCCACATTTGCCAAGAGTCTGTTCCGTCAACATTCAACATGTTTATCAGAAGTCTTGTAATAGTTCCAAAACTAATAAAACAGGTCCCAAGCATAAAAATGACAGACACAAAACACACTGGGTTTTTTTTTTGTTGTTGTGGCTTTGGTTCTTTTAAACAGATTTTTTAAATCTTTTATTTAAAAAAGTTTTTTTAAAGATTTTGTTTATTTATCTCTAGAGGGGAAGGAGAGAGGGAGAGAAACATCAGTGTATGGTTGCCTCTGGTGAGCCCCCTGCTGGGAACTGGCCCACAACCCAGGCATATGCCCTGACTGGGAATTGAACCGTGATCCTGTGGTTCACAGGCCCGCGCTCAATCCACTGAGCTACACCAGCCAGGGTAAAAAAAATTTTATTGATTGATTTTAGAGAGGGTGAGGAGGAGAGAGAGAAACATTGATTTGTTGTTTTACTTATTTATACACTCACTGGTTGCTACTTGTTTGGCCCCTGACTGGGGATCAAACCTGCAACCTTGGTGTATCTGGATGACACTCTAACCAACTGAGCTACATAGCCAGGGCTCCTTTAATAATTTTTAATGTCAAATCATGTGGCAGAAATAAATTTTTCTTCATAGTAATAAAACCCACTAAAGGAATGCAGTCAATGCCTCATGCAGAGGGTGAGAACCATCTGCAGGGGCCAGCGCAAGACAGTGGCCACCTCAAGGGACAAGACCTTGCATCAGTGGTGAGTGAGAGGTTTGGTTAACATCAATACTGCATCCTCAGGAGGACAAAAGCTCACTGAAGGCATGTGCTTCGACATAGTGTCTGTAAGGCTGTTCTTCATCTGATGAAATCCACTTCTCACGTTGTCAAACACTGACATGAAATGGCAACACTAGGTTTCATTTTATCCAAACCTCCCATCAGTCTAAGACAGTAAAGTGTCCCAACAATTGATTTCCCTGCTTTAATAATTACATGTTTGACAAGTGAAACATTTACACTTCTTTTTTAAAATTTATTATTTTAGAGAGAGAGAGGAAGGGAGAAAGAGAGAGAAACATTGATTTATTCTTCCACTTATTTATGCATTCGTTGGTTGATTCTTGTACGTGCCCTGACCAGATTGAACCTGCAAACTCTGGCGTATTGGGAGAATGCTCTAACCCAGCAGACCTCAACCTTTTTGGCACCAGGGACCAGTTTTGTGGAAGATGGGGTGGAAGGTGGGGGGAGACAGGAGGTCAAGCTCAGGCGAGCCGCACTCATGGCCCAGGGGTTGGGGCCCCTTCCTCTAATCAACTGAACTACCTGGCCAGGGCTCAGACTTCCTTTTTCACTACTATAATACAATTTGTTTATTCACCAGTTGATAAATACCTGGACTGCTTCCAGTTTTTTTGCTGTTAGAAATAATATTGCTGTTCACATTTGCATACAGGTTTGTGTGACCATTTGTTTTTATTTCTCTTGGATGATACATAGGAATAAAATTGCTGGGTCATATCATATGGCAGGTGTATGTTTACCTTCACACATTCCTGCCACACTGTGTTCCTACAGGACTGTACCACATGCCATTCCCGCCATCAAGGTGTGAATGTTCCACTTACATAGCATCACTGATACTGTTTTACACAGGCTAATGTGAGGCTTTCCCAGAACTACCATATGGTTCTAAAAAGTGAATTAAGTTATCTATTAAAATCTTAAGTAAATGTTTTAAGTCCTATATGGTTGTATAGCTTTCCTAGATATTAGCATTAGTTTTAAATGACACAGTCAAACCAGTTCAAATGTACCTTTTAATGATTTTCTTTTGTTTTTCTTGTATTCTTACCTGAGCTGCTCAATTTTCTCTGGGGTAACAGGATCCTTCCCCAAAACTTGGTCTATCTCTTCACACAGTTTTTTCTGTACTTCTTCAGAGGTGGTTAAAAAACAGATTGCCCAGGTGCACACTAAGTGAAAATTTATATTAATAACAATGAAAATAGCTAATTCATGGTTTGGGTACAGAACAAGAGAAAAACTTGTGTTTTCTTATTTCCTTTTTTTCTGATACAAAAGATAAAGGCTACCAAAGAATAAAACAAAGTGTTCACAAGATTTATATTTCATTGATGAGAACAAAAATATTTACAGAACACCCCCCAAAAAGATGGTACAGTCTAGAAGATTCCTTCTTCCTTGGTTTCTCTATATCCCTGCCCTCACTCCTTTCCCCTCTCTCTTTCTTAATCCTCACCTAAGGATATGTTTATATTTTTTATAGAAAGAGGAAGGAAGAGAGAGAGCAACACTGATGTGAGAGAGAAACATCGATCGATTGCCTCCCATACACGCCCCAACCAGGGATGGACCCTCAACCTAAGTATGTGCCTTGATGGGGAATCAAATTTGCACTCCACTCCTTCTCTGTACGGGACAACATGCCAACCACCTGAGCCACCTGGCCAGGGCTGGAAGATTTATTTCTTAAAATGGCAAGTAATTGAAGCAACTTAAGGCATTATACCTGGATAAAATAGTAATGATAAATATACTTCACATCTGGGGGAATGTTGATAACTTTGATGGATTGTCTAGTTCACTCAATCTTATAAAATCAAAAACTGAGTTATCAGATCACTCAGGAGCCCAAAGAAAATGATTCATACGAATCAAAGTGGCAGGAGATTTACCTACAAATCAATGTTTTAAATTTTTACTTGTAATGGTAGATACACTGGCTCAGTGACTGGAACTGGTTCCATTGCTTAGGACAGTGGTTCTCAAAAATCACCTGGAAGTTGGTTGATGGAACAATCTCACATCTAAAGATCCTGATTTATTGGGTTTAAGGTAGGATCTAAGCATCTGTACTTATAACAAATACCACAATTATTTTGATAAATAACAAAATGCAAAGTCACCAGCTTATGGTTTACTTTTGATTAAAACTGCTTATGGATTATATTCACTATGGAAATGAAAAGGTAAGAAAATTACATGATAAGCTTAAAAGAGAGAAAATAAAGTAGTTACATGTCCTTTAGCAATCCAATGGAATTGCAACTATTCAAAGAATTAAACCATCCACATGTATATAATATTTTACCATGTATCATGCACCCTTTTTTCCCCAAATTTTTGAGGGAAAAATAAAGGAGCACATTATACATAAGTAGTACTAATTCTGTATCTATATAAATGTTTTTAATTCTTTCATTTATGCTTATATGTTAAAAATACAAATCTAGAAAGCAATAATGATATTTGTGTGCAAAATAATAATGAAATATGATAATGAGTTTTGTTTATAAATATAATAAATAATTGAATTAAAATTAAAACAACCTCTGGCTGGTGTGACTCAGTGAATTGAGTGCCATAATGCAAACCAAAGGGTCTCCGTTTTGATTCCCAGTAAGGACACATGTCTGGGTTGCAGGCCAGCTCCTCAATAGAGTTAGCTACACACTGATGTTTCTCTCCCTCTCTTTCTCCCTCCCTTCCCCTCTCTCTAAAAAAAAAGGTAAATATAAACTTTAAAATTAAAACAAGAGATTTTTTTCCTAAAACTTTGGGCCAAAATCGCGGGTACACAGTATACATGTGAGTGCATTATACATGGCAAAATACAGTAGTACATCTTTCCCTAGATTATGCTTGAGATGACTATCTGCAGGTACTTTTTCTATGTCAAGTACTTTAAAAAATGTTTACTAATTTCTACCTCTGCTTATAATCTCCTTCCTGAGCTAATAAGGGCTGATGTAAATTTGTCTCAAAGTTAATTTTTTTCCTTGACAATTTCACAGATAGAAGATTTTTTTAAAATATTTGATTTATTTTTAGAGAGAAAGGAAGGGAGGGAGAAAGAGGACAGAAACATCAATACCTGGTTGCCTCTCATACGCCCTCTACTGGGGACCTGGCCTGCAACCCAGGCATGTGCCCCAACTAGGAATCAAACTGGAGACCCTTTGCTTTTCAGTCCGGCACTCAATCCATTGAACCACACCAGTGAGGGCTCAAAGTTAAATTTTTTAAATATTTACCTAACTCACGTATTATCCAATTCCTAAAGATATAATTCACAGTCTACATTAAATATTATTAATACAATCAATAGCTTCCTGGTTCTCAATTATTTTGATGATTTACTGACATCTAGAGTTCAACAAAGGCACATGATGAGTAACTACATGTCCTTAACTTTTTCCTACATGTTTCTTTAATATGGCTTTTTAGTGAACTGCACAATTTTTGTTAAATGAACAAATAAAACAGAAACAGACTCAAGGGGCGAGAACATTTTGACAACTGCCAGAAGGAAAAGGGGTTGGGGGGTAGATGAAAAAGTAGAAGGGATTAAGAACAATTGGTTGTCTCAGAATAGTCACAGGGATGTAAAGAACAGCATAGGAAACACAGTCAATAATATTCTAATAACTATGTATGGTATCAGATGGGTTTAAGATTTATCAAAACAATCACTTAGTAAGTTATGTCATATCTAATTACTAGGGTATATACCTGAAACTAATATAATAATGCCTGTCAACTTTAACTGAAAAACAAAAATGATTTTAAAAAGAAAAAAGTGACATGAAAACAAGTACAGAGACTATACAAATGTATATATAGGCAATGTATACAATACTGAAAGAGGAAACACAAAGATTTGAATATAGTAGGTATTTGTATACCTGCTTGACCAAATAATCACTTAAAATTAATGAAGAGTAAGCTTAATAATCTCAAACACTGGGAACTTCCAGCCAAGATGGAGGCTTAGGTACATATACTTTGCCTCCTTGCACAACCAAAAGAAGGACAACAACAAATTTAAAAACAAAAAAAAAACCAGAACTGCCCCCAAATCAAACTGTATGGAGGTCTGACAACCAAGGGGTTGAAGAAGAAACATTCATTCAGACAGGTAGGAGGGGTGGAGATGGGCACCCAGGGTGGAGAGAATATGTGGCAAGGCAGCAGCTGGCAGACTGAAGGAGCAAGGTAATGGTTGGCAGACTGGGTGGTCCCACATTTGCAGACAGATAACCGGGAGGAATAACAGAGGAGCTAGACAGACTGCATAGCCTAGGGTTCCAGTATGGGGGAAATAAAGCATCAAAATCTCCGGTGGTAAAGACCTGTGGTAGTTGCAGTGGAGGGAGAGACTCCCAGCCCCACAGGAGAGTTTGTTGGAGAGACCCACAGGGTCCAAGAATGACCACAAACACACCCACCTGGGAATTAGCACCAGAAGGGCCCAATTTGCTAGTGGGTAGTGGGGGAATGACTGAAAGCTGACAGAAAGATGAGCAAGTGCCATTGTTCCCTCTCAGACCCCTTTCCCACATACAGCACCACCACGCAGCAATGTGGGTGCCCTGCCCTGCCAAACACCTAAGGCTCCACCACTTACAACATAATAGGTGTGCCCAGACAAAAAAAAATATGGCCCAAATGAAAAAACAGATAAAAGCTCTAGAAAAAATACAAATAAACAACAAAGAGATAGCCAACCTATCAGATGCACAGTTCAAAACTCTGGTAATCAGGATGCTCACAGAAATGGTTGAGTATGGTCACAAAATAGAGGAAAAAGTGAAGGCTATGCAAAGTGAAATAAAGAAAAATATACAGGGAACCAACAGTGAAGAGAAGGAAACCAGGGCTCAAGTCAATGATTTGGAGCAGAAGGAAGAAATAAACATCCAACCAGAACAAAATGAAGAAACAAGAATTCAGAAAAATGAGGAGAGGCTTAGAAACCTCCAGGACATCTTTAAATGTTCCAACATCTGAATCATAGGGGTACCAGAAAGAGAAGAGGAAGAACAACAAATTGAAAACTTATTTGAAAATATAATGAAGGAAAACTTCCCTAATCTGGCACAGAAAATAGACTTCTAGGAAGTCCAGGAAGCTGAGAGAGTCCCAAAGAAGTTGGACCTAGGGAAGTACACACCAAGGTACATCATAATTACATTAGCCAAGATTAAAGATAAGAGGAGAATCTTAAAAGCAGCAAAAAAAAAAAAGGACAGTTACCTACAAAGGAGTTCCCATAAAACTAGCAGCTGATTTCTCAAAAGGGATTTGTAGGCCAGAAGGGGCTGGAAAGAAGTATTTCAAGTCATGAAAGGAAAGGACCTTCATCCAAGATTACTCTGTCCAGAAAACCTATCATTTAGAATGGAAGGGCAGATAAAATTCTTTCCAGATAAGGTAAAGTTAAAGGAGTTCATCATCACTAAGCCCTTATTATATGAAATGTTAAAAGGACTTACCTAAGAAAAAGTAGATGATCAAAACTATGAACCATAAAATGACAACAAACTCACAACTATCAATAACTGAACAAAAACTAAAACAAAAACTAATTAAACAACTAGAACAGGAACAGCCTAACAGAAATGGAGATCACATTGGGGGTTATCAGCTTGGAAGAGGAGGAGGTAATGGGGGAAAGGTATAGGGGAACAAGAAGCACAAATGATAGGTACAAAATAGACAGGGGGATGTTAAAAATAGTATAGGAAATGCAGAAAACAAAGAACTTATATGTATGACCCATGAACAAGAACTAAGGGGGGCAATGCTGGTGGAAGAGGGGTGCAGGACAGAGGGGAATAAAGGGAGAGATGGAAATGGAACAACTGTAATAGCATAATCAATAAAATATATTTTTAAAAATCTCAAACACTGGTTCTTTTGTAGAACTCTATTAAAAATAAAGTATGACTGGGGATAACTTTAAATTGTTATTTTAAGCCACTGAACGTTCTTTAATTACACTATTAAACTAAGATACAATTGTCCTGCTGGAAGATACCATGGAGGTTATCTTCAGCTAAATCCTTATTTTAGAAAAGGAGAAAATGCAGAGGTAAGTACCTTGTTCAAGGCTAATTAGCGGTGGGGGAGGAACTTTAATTAAGGTTTCCTACCTATCTTACCTCTCAAAAACTTCAGAGATGACAAAAAATAACCAATCAACATGCAAAGAAATAATGATACTCTGAAAAGTTCCCCTGAAAACAGCAAATTAGATTAAAATATTGACTCAACCTTGGAAAATGGTTACCTTTTGTGTTATCTAGAGCATGACTGATTCAGATTTTTTTGAAGGTCTTTATCAAAAATACATTTTAATGTAATAAATAAAGTTTTAAAACAAGTTAAGCATTTAAAAAAAAGATTTGATACATTATGTTTGACACATGTTTACTGAAATTCCATTTAATTTATAATATCTGGACATCTCTGTCAAAAATTTTACAACAAGCCCTGGCTGGTGTGGCTCAGTGGATTGAGCACCAGCCTGCGAAGTGAAAGGTCACTGGGTTGATTCCCAGTCAGGGCACATGCCTGGGTTGTGGGCCAGGTCCCCTGCTGGGGGCATATGAAAGGCAACCGATAGGTTTATCTCTTGCACATTGATGTTTCTCTCACTCTCTTTTTTCCTCCCTTTCCCTCTCTTTAAAAGTAAATAAATAATATATTTTTTAAAAATTTACAACAAGAAAAATTTACAGAAATTTTACATTCATAATCATTGTTTTTAAGAAAATTTCCTTCAACAGAAATATCTGTAAATGAAATCCTTCAGGTGAACATACATTTTTTAGATTTTAAACTGATGTTTTAATACTTTCTTTGGTATTCCTTTAGTATATTTTTATAGATACACATAAATTTCTGTAAATACTGTATGAATGAATGGTAACTCTGCTAAACTCAAAACCAGTAAGGAAACTAAGTAACATATCACACATTTTAGATTTTTAAATAAAAATTACCTCCAATACCAACAAAAGAGTTCTTTTAAATCATAGTCTCTGTGGCCTATCTCTTCTGTTGGCAGACCTTAATAATAGCGGACTCAATTGGAGTCAAAGTGAACTGTCTCAGCAGAAATTGAAAAGCTCATTGCTTGGTTGGAAAGGTGTCACTAACAGTTCATTTTAAAAGCACTAACTAGAATTCACAATCCACAAACTGTGTCAAAAATTTTATGGCAATGCTCAGAGGTGGCACAGAACACCTGAGGTTAAAAAAAGAAAAAAGTATCTGTGTGAATGAAGCCTTTCAAACAAGAGTTAAAAAGAGGGAATGGAAATCATAAAAATTTACAAACTGTGTTCCCTTTATTTCAGAAGAGCTTTACCTTAGTATATTTTATACTCTTTCTCAAGAAGGAATTCAAGTTATACTTACATTTTGCAGTTATTATGCAACTGGCCAGAGAAAATATCATGCTGTCTTCTAGGATCTAGAAAGCAAAACTAAGTTTAGAAAGTATGAAATGCAAGGTGGCCTGTATCCCCTACTAAAATAACCTAGAGTATGGAATTGAGAGTCAAGGAAAGAAGAAAAAGTATGTTATTTGTTAGTTTCACTTAAAAAAATCTATATAATGTAAACACCAACTAAATTACAGTACTGCCGGCGGTGAAGCACGAGTCCAGGCCAGCCGGAGGGGACGCTAAAAAAAAAAAAAAAATTACATTATCTTTTTTCTTTTGGTAAATATTTATCAATAATATTACTGGCTCATGATACATTTCTGCAAACAAACTGGCTCAGTCCTGTCTTTCTGGCTTGGCCTGGTGCAGCAGTGAAGCCTCAGGAACAGTGGGAAGAGCCTGCCACTCACTGTCCAGGATTCAATCTCTGCACTCACACACACACCAGGAAACCACTTCTGTCTACAAAGACGTTCACATGTAGAATGGGGCTGAGGATTCCTACTATAAAAGAGTGTGGCAATAACAGGTTTACTCTCCGTTGCCTGACCACACCGCACAGGGGTGTGCTGTGGGGAAACAGACACGCACTAGTACAAGCCATGCTGCCACAGCTGGTCACATGGGCAGAGCAGCTTAGTCGATGAAGACCTACAGAAGTCCTCCTATTTTATGATCAGAGAATTTGGGCTCAATATTTGCTTACCCAAATACTAAATAATGTACAGCTGCTTCAAAGAGCTAAATAATAGGAGACTAAATACTTACATTGTTTATGAATAATGTACATTAAAGAAAAGAAAGCCATTGAATTTTGAAGGAATTTTGAGTTAAATTGATAAAAAAACACACTCTATATATGTGTGATTATCTTTTATTTGATAAATATTTGACAATTATTTTACCTGTTGGTCATTAAGGTTCCCCTGTACTAAGGAGTCAATGAAAATATATTGACTGAAGTTCCTTCCTTTTCGTTCTTTTATGATTTTCTTCAAAATAGATTCCAGTTGCATAAGGGCTTAGAGTAGAAAAACAAAAAAGATTTTAGAATATAAACATGTATAAAAATTAAACTTTTAAAATATTTCTGTACAATGCTACCACTGCAGAATCAAATTTCAAAGGTAAAATAGTAAACAATAACTTTTTAAAAAGCTAATTTATGTTTAAATTCATCTACTTTCATTTCCTTCTTTTTACTAACTTCTGTGTATGTACAAAAAAGTATATAGAGATATATATATATATATATATATATATATATATATATATATATACAGTCTAAGAAGTAATTGTAAAGCAAACACTTATGATGTCACCACCCAGGCAAAGAAGTAGAACAATACCAGCACCTTCAGGGCCTCCACACACATATTACTCTCCCCTGATATTATCCACCTTCTTTCCAAATTTTATCCTCTTAACTTCATTCTTCTCTGAAATCAGGCATCACTCATTTAGGGACAGAAACAGATGTGAATTAAGCATAAAAGTAAATTTCTATAATTTAAAAGATACAGAATAAATAACTGATACCCAACAATCAACAAAATGATCCAAAGGTCATTTCTCAGTCCCCATCTTACTTGCCCTATCACAGCATTTGATGATGTTGGTCGCTGACTCTCCAGGAAACATTTTCTCATTTAGCTTCCAGATTTCAACACTCTCCTGACTGCACACTTTGCCCCCACCTTACTACCTGTTCATTCATGGTATCCTTTGTTGATTCCCTCTCATCTCTAGAATTGTTTCACAACAGAAGGTCCAAGGTCAGGACTCAGTGTTTGGACCACTTCTCTTTTTCTATGTACATTCATTAGACTAGTGATCACCAGTCTCAAGGCTTTAAATACAATTTCTGTAGTTAATACTCCCAAGTTTATTATCTCCAGCCAGGACCTCTTTCCCCCTGAACTCCAGACTCATATATTTTATAACCATCTCAGCATCTCCACTTGGATGCCTGAAGCATATTAAACATACATATCCAATACCGAATTCCTAATCTTTCTCCCCAAAGTTGGATCTTCCTAGTCTGTCCTATATTAACCCCAAGACTTTATTTTCCAGTACTCAGGTATAGAACCTTGGTGTCTCACTCCCTCTTATACCACACATCTAATCTTTCAGCCAGTGCTGGTGGCTCTATCTTCAGAATACAGAATTATTTTACTCTACTTTTTTTTTCGTTCTATGTTTTCTGCTGCCTGTCACCTAGTCCCTACCACATTATTCCTGTTGCTTGGTTCACTGTAACGGCTCCATAAGTAGTCTTCCCACTTCTGCTCTGGACACCTATGATCTACCACAGCAGCCAGAGTGATCCTTTGAAAACATAACGCAGATCACAGCTTTGTTCAAAACCTTACGGTGGCTTCTATCTCATAGTAACAACCAATTCACACAATGATCTATCAACCAGACAAAATCTGTCCCTCTCCCCAGTCTTTCTGGCCTCATCTCCTTCTCCTCTCTGATTCACTTGACTCCAGCCATAACCTGTTATACTTCAAATGCATCAGGGAGAATCCCACCTCGAGGACTTTGTAGTTACTTTTCCTCTACATGGACTATCTTTCCCTTGGACATGAGGATATCCACATGCTCTGCACTGACTTGTTGCCTTATCTCTTAGAAGTATTTGCTCAAAAGTCACCTAATCTTGGTGAGGCCATTTCTAATAACCTTATTTAAAACTGCAGTCTCCCCAATTCTCGCACCCCCTACTCACCCTCCTGATTTAATATTCTCCACAGCACTTTTCATATTTTAACATACTATTCAGTTTACTATTTTGATTATCACCTGCCTCTTCCCAGTAGAATGTACTGCCACAAGAACAGAAATTTTTTATTTGTTTTATAATTTTATTTAAAATAGAAAATTATAAATTACTAATTTTTAGTCATAGTAATTGAACCAATTTTTGTGAACTACGATTGTTATTAAGGGAATTACTCTAAATGCATCCATGAAGATAGTCAGAATGGGCCCTGGCTGGTGCAGCTCAGTGGAATGAGTACTGGCCTGCAAACCGAAGGGTTGCCGGTTCCATTCCCACTTGGGGCACATGCCTGGGTTGTGGGCCATGTCCCTGCTGGGGGTGTGTGCAAGAGGCAACCAATCGATGTTTTGCTCCCTCTCCTTCTCCCCCATTCCCCTCTCTCTAAAAGTAAATAAATCTTTTTTTTTTTAAAGATAATCAGAATGGTAACAAAAAAACAGATAGCTTAAAATGTGTCAGTTAAATTGGCTTTGCTGGACTTACGCTGGACATCAAGGGAATCACCAGAATGGTATGCCCCGTGAGGACAGGGACTGTTGTCTTCTATACAGAGAAGAATGCCTAGCACATATGGGCCCGAAGAAATATTTGTTGAAATAACTGAGGAAGAGAATCCTGGGAAGCAATACTATTATATATGGGAAATAATTCAATGTATTACTTCAATGTATTTTATGTATTTTAATTTACCCAGCCTACTTCTAAAAAACAAAATGAAGCAGCTCAGAATAAAGGTATTAAAGCATTACATTCATTAAACTACTGACAAATACATAGAATAAAATAACAAAGGAGAGAATAATTGGGAAGCCGTCTTAAACTAAAATCGCTATTTTTCTGTGTAGAGTTTACAAAGTTTTAATCAATGCCAAACAATTTTGAAAATATTTTCACTCAGTATTATAATGGTAAGAATCTTCTATGTTGCTACATTCTTTACAAATATCTACAAAATATTGAATCATGGTGATATTATTTCCTTAGCAGTTCCTATATTGTTGGACATTTAGACTCTTTCTGGTTTTCTACTTGCAGAAATAGTAGGAACAGAAATACTGAGGGAATATTTTTCTTCTGGGTAACTTCAGCCATCGTTTACAACTCAACACGGGTCATCAAATTGCCTTCCCAGGGCTGTGCTTTCCATGAATCCTACAGGCTATGCCAACTCTACCGAGTTCTCATTCTGCAGTGTGCTGGAGTTTCATTTACTAATTCACTGCCTTTTCCTTTTTTGTCTAAGAAGAACTTTCATTACAGGAAATGTAGAAAAAAACAAAGAGAGAAACAAATACATGACAAAAAAGAGCACATATCTTTTTGTTCTAACTAAAAATTAAAAGTGGCAAAACTTACCATCTTCATATTGTTTTTTCCGAGTTGTACTTTTATCAAGTGATCCATCTAGAAACCCTTTTCCAATCTCTGACCAAACCTGAAAATAGGAAGACATACCTATTATCTAATAAGGAGATTTTCTAAACAATCCCAAGCAATCTAAGCTAATAATTAAGAAACTCCTGTCTGACTAACCAAACTGATAATTAAGCTCTCCCTTTTAAATTAGCTACATAATCATTTATTCCATGGTCTCTGAAAATAGAGCAAATATATTTTAACAATTTCAGTCAAGACATTTTCAAACTAATTATAACTGAAAAGTCAAAAGTTCCTTTTCTCTAAAAGGTGTATGTATGGGGAGTAAAAGAATATGGCAGTAGAGTCAATTCTCAATTTTTTATTATAATGGTACTAGTGGATAAATAAATGCATAGGGAAATTCATTGGAAATTCCAACTTTTACTTCACCTGGGATATTGATAAGACTGAGATCCAGAAAAAGGTTAAAAGTAGTCTAAAATTTGAAGACAGCAAACAACAGAAAAGGCTTCCAATTATTTCAAAATTGGTTAATTAATCCCTGAAAAAACTTCAACTTGTTTATAATTCAAAAGTTCTTAAAGAACTTACGGGGAAAACACACCACTTATATTAATCAGTACTAAATATTTAGAGTTAAGAGTTCTCAACTATAACCTTAAAAGACACACCTTACAGGTTATTTAAATGTAAAAAATTAAACTATTAAAAGCATTATAAAGATATATAGTAAATTTTTACATTAGGAATACCCTTAAAGTGAGAAAGGAATTTTCTAAGCATGACACAGAGAACAGAGCAAAACTTTATCATGAAAGAGTTAAATTCATTTAGCTACTCCATCCCAACAACCAAAAGCTGAAGAGACAGAAAAATCAACAACTCTTCTTGGATCCCTAAGACACAGGAAGATACAGGGCAAACTGAGGCCTCCAAGATTAGAGACAAACGAAAATTGGAAGTCACATCTTACTGAACAGAATCACAAGTAGAAACCACCCCAGGAGCCAGTGCAAAGGTAGGGAAACTGTTAATTACCGGAACTGTAATTGACAAACTGCTTGAGGTTCAATATATACAACTCTGAGAGTTAAAAAATCTCATGGGAGACTCGCAAAATATTGTGAGATTTACCTCTAGAAGCTTGGTCAGGTTCCCACAGTAAATGCTGCTAAAAACCTCCTTGGGCTCCCAGCCGGGAGCAACCAAATCTGAAATAAGCCAGAGCACTCCATTCATCTTAATGAGGCCTATTCTCTTATGAAACTACTCAGTCTAACCTAGTCGGGTATTATCAAGAGCCTAACTGACCTGGGGAAGGGAAATACCCAAATCCAGTCAGAGCTAAGCTTCCACATGGGAGAAGGGAAATACCAAACTCCAGCCCACTATGGCCTTCCTGTTCCACCTAAAGGGGGAGAAAAAAACTGAAAAACACTTGTGAAGTTCACAGCACAGAGGAACAGGCTCACTAAAAGACTGTTAAGACCTAATTATAGAACTATAGAATGCTTCCCCTTTCCCCACATCTCACCAAAGTCCTATTTACACAAGTGTCTTTTAAACAGTATATCGTGTCTAGCTACCAAAAAAAATATTACAAAAGGCAAAAACACAATTTGAACAAACAGAACAAGCATCAGAACAACTATGGCAGGGATGTTGGAATCATCAGACCAGGAATTTAAAATAACTATGATTAATATGCCAAGGGCTCTAAAGGATAATATCCAAAAATGCTCTAAAAGATCCTCAGGCAAAGGATAAAGTATACAGCATGCAAGACAAGACAGTCAGTGTAAGCAGAGATGGAAATCCTAAGAAAGAACTGAAAAGAAGTGCTAGAGATCAAACACACTGTAACAGAAATGAAGAACCCCTTTGCTAGACTTATTAGTACACTGGTCACAGCTTAGAAACAGTCTCTGAGCTATAGGATATATCAACAGAATCCTAAAAAGCAGTTTGTTATAAAACAAGACATAATCTTCTTATATAATCCATCAATCCCAACCTTTAGTACTTACCCAAAGGAGCTGGAAACATGCCCACACAAAACCTGCACACAGATGTTTATAGCAGCTTTATTCACAATTGGCAAAACTTGGAAACACCAAAATGTGCTTTAGTAGGTAAATGGATAAACTGATACATCCAGACAATGGAATAGTATCCAAGGCTAAAAGAAATGAGCTACGAAGCCATGAAAAAACAAGGAGGAAGATCAAATGCCAATTTCTAAGTGAAAGAAGTCAATCTGAGAAGGCTACATACGGCATAATTCCAACTATGTGGCATTCTGGAAAAGTCAAAAGTGTGGATACAGTAAAAAGATCAGTGGTTGTCAGAAGCTGGGAGAGGAGGGGAAAGATGAAAAGGCAGAGCACAGAGCATTTATTAAGGAAGTGAGATACTCTGCATGACGTGATAATGGATTAATGTCATTATACATTTGTTAAAAAGCCATTAATATACAACACTGAGCCTAAATCCTTAGGTCAACGTCGGGTGATTATAATGTGTCAATATAGGTTCATTGCTGGCAAAAAAAGTATCCTTCCAGCGAGTGATGTTGATGATGGGCGAGGCTGTGCAGGTGCAGAAGCAAAGGGTGTAAGGGCAATCTCTGTACTTGCCTCTCATTTTATTATAAACCTAAAAATTATTTTAAAAGTAAAGGCTTTTTTTAAAAGCACTATAAATAAAAGTAAAAGCAAAAGAAAACTGAGAAAAGAATAAAGAGCTCTTTCAGATTAAAAAAAAAAGAAACATATCAGTAGAAATATGGGCAGAGTATATGAGAAAGAATCCCACAAAAGAAGGAACACAAGCTTTCAACAAAATATTAAATAATGCTTAACCTCCCAAATAATAAATTATACATTTTAATCATGAAATATCATTTTTGAATGATTAGGTAGGCAAATATTTGAAGGACAAATAATTCTAAATGTCGAAAGCACAAAGAAAGAGCACACTGATGTTGGTGAGAAAATAACTGGGGTGATGTGTTTATGCAACTGAATGTGAAGTGCACATTTTTACATCCTATGTAAAACCCTATTTTTACATCCCATTTTCACAGATGTTAATCCGCTTCTTACAACTGATGGTCTCTCCCAGCTGTCATCAGTCAATTGGTTATTATTCCTTATGACCTAAATCCCTTTTAATGTGTCTCAGACATTAACAGATCACTTGAGGAAGACTTCAATATATGTTTATAGTCTAAAAACTTTCCTTTGACAATTTCTAGTAATGTTAAAAAATATCAGATTCCTTCTAAAACACATAACTTGAATCTGCTCAAATCCAAATTGAGGAACATTCGACATAATAATTGGCCTGTATTTTTTAAAGTGTCCACGTCAAAGAAAACAAAGAAAAAACTGAGAAACTGTTTCACATGAAAGAGGTTTGACCACTAAAGTGAAGAAATTTGAATATAGGCTGTGGTTAATAGTATTGTACAGTATGAATGTTAAATTTCCCAAGTTTGAAAACTATGTTTTCCCTATATAAGAGAGTATCCTTGTCTTTAGGAAATCCAACCCAAAGAATTTAGGGAGAAAGAAGCAAAATGTCTACTTGACACTCCAATGGTTCTGGTAAGGGGGTGGAATGAATTGGTAGATAGATAGATAGATAGATAGATAGACAGATAGATAGATGCAATCACAAATATGGCAAAATGCAAACCACTGGTGAACCTGAATAAATAATACATTGGAGTTCTTTGTACTAACTGCAACTTTTCAGTAGGTTTGAAATTATTTCTACTTTGAAATTATGCCAGTACAAAAACATGCAGAATGGGTTAGAAGAAAATCCTAGAAATAACAGTGGAGTTTCTTTTTAAAAATATTTTCTAGTCAATATGCAAAAAATCAGACAGCCCTGGCAGGTGTGACTCAATTGGTTGGGCATTGTCCTGCAAACTGAAAGGTCGCAGGTTTGATTCCTGGTCAGGGCACATGCCTGTGTTGTGGGTACAATCCCCTGTCTGAGTGTGTGTAAAAGGCAACTGATGTTTCTCCCTCACTTCGATGTTTCTCCCTCACTTCGATGTTTCTCTCTCTTTCTCCCTCCATCCTCGTCTTGCTAGAATCAATAAAAGAAACATTAAAAAAAAATAAACCTCCCATTAAAAAAAAACAGACAAAAACTGAGTAAAAAATTCATTCTTCATTAAAATATGAAAACATTTTAGGAATTCCTTAACTAATTTACTTTGCCTGGGTACACAGAGTAGTTTACTCTATCTAGAAAGTGAAATTTAGAGTGATTTTCCCATTTCTAATGCTCTGGAATGTTTTATTTAAAAAAGTGTGTTTTTAGCCCTGGCTGGTGTAGCTCAGTGGTTTGAGTGTGGGCCTGAGAACCAAAGGATCCTGGTTCGCTTCCCAGTCAGGGCACATGCCTGGGTTACAGCCCAGTCCCCTGCAAGGGACTCACAAGAGGCAACCATACATTGATGTTTCTCTCCTTCTCTCCTTCCCCTCTAAAGATAAATAAATAAAAAAATAAAAAAAAATTTTAAGTGTGTTTTTTAATCTTCAAACAAAAGTAATAGGACTTCAGCCAAGATGGAGGTGTAGGTGGAAGCACTGTAGCTTCTCACACAACCAAGTTGAAAAACAAAGTTTTAGCAACAAAAACACAGCCAAACCACAGAAAATTGAACTATACGGAAATCTGACAACAATGAACCCTTCAGCCAAACCGGTAAGAGGGGCAGAGCCAGCAGCAGAGCAGGGTCGGGCAGGAAAGATCCACCAGACCAACTGGGGCGCGTGACCCAGGTGCGCCAGCAGCTGTGAACGGATCCCAGGTTTGGAGTAGCGGGCGGACCCACTGAGGGCTGGACCACAGTCACACATTCGAGCGCAGATAAACTGGTGAAGGAGCGAAGAAGTGAGACAGACTGTGCAGGCCCCAGTGGCGGAAAGTGGCAGAGGAGACCGCCATTGTCCCTCTCTGACCCTGCCCCCACATACAGCGTCACAAACCTGCAACCTGGGTGGCCCCACCCTGGTGAATACCTCCTCGTACCTAACAGCCACAAACAGATCAAAACATGGGTCAAACATGGATCAAAACATGGATCAAACTTTCAGATGCACAGTTCAAAACACTGGTGATCAGGATGCTCACAGAACTGGTTGATTTTAGTCACAAATTAGAGGAACATATGAAGGCTAAACTAATTGAAATGAAGGGAAATGCACAGGAAACCAATAGTAATGGAAATGAAACTGGGACTCAAATCAAAGGAGTGGACCAGAAGGAGGGAAAAAAATGACCAAACAGAAAAGGATGAAGAAACAAGAATTCAAAAAAAAAAAAAAAAAAAAAAAGAGAGAGGAGAGGCTTAGGAACCTCCAGGACATCTTTAAACCTTCCAACATCTGAATTATAGGGGTACCAGAAGGGGCAGAGGAACAGCCACAAGTGGAAAACTTATTTGAACAAACAATAAAGGAGAACTTCCCCAATCTGGCAAAGGAAATAGACTTCCAGGAAATCCAGGAAGCACAGAGAGTCCCAAAGAAGTTGGACCAAGATGGAACATACCAAGGCACATCATAATTACATTAGCCAAGATTAAAATGAAAGAGAGAATTCTAGAAGCAGCAAGAGATAAGGGGACAGTCACCTACAAAGGAGTTCCCATCAGACTGTCAGAGGATTTCTCAAAAGAGACCTTACAAGCAAGAAGGGGCTGGAAAGAAGTATTCCAAGTCATGAAATCCAAAGACCTACATCCAAGATTGCTCTATGCAGCAAAACTTTCACTTAGAATGGAAGGACAGATAAAGTGCTGCTCAGATAAGGTCAAGTTAAAGGAGTTCATCATCACCAAGCCCTTATTACATGAAATGTTAAAGGGACTTACCTAAGAAAAAGAACATAAAAAAGATGAACAGTGAAAGGACAGCAAACTCACAGTTACTAAGAACCACACCTAAAACAAAAACAAACTAAGAGGACAGCTAGATCAGGAGCAGAACCATAGAAATGAAGATCACATGGAGGGTTAGCAACAGGGGAGTGGGAGAAGGAGAAGGGGAGAGAAGGTACAAAAAATAAGTAGCATAGATGGTAGGTAGAAAATAGATGGGGGAAGGGTAAGAATAGTAGGGGAAATATAGAATCTAAAGAACTTGAGACACGTGGTCATAAACTAAAGGGGGGATGGTGGGGGAGGGGGTGTGTAGGGTGGAGGGGAATGAAGGGGGAAATAGAACAGTAATGGCATAATCAATAAAATATATTTAAAAAAAATAAAGAAAACAAAAGTAATAAAACTATTTTAATGTAAAAAGTGCAACACTAAATAGTGAGAAACTGTTAAGCATAGTTACTAGTGATTATTGTTTTAAACACATTATCTTGATTATATAACCAGTTTTATAGATTTGAAAACAATAAGGAATAATCTCTCAGATATCCAACATGCTATAAATGACCTAAATATAATTTGAACCAAAAAAATTAATGTTGAGTTTGATAAAAGAGATTATTTATTCTAGTTCAGTGATGAATGCTATACAGATGGCCACCAGATATATGAAAAGATGTTCAACATCACTAATCATCAGGGAAATGCAAATGAAAAAAAACACAATGAGATACCATCTCATTCCCATCAGAATGGCTATTATCAAAAAGTCAACAAATAAAGTGTTAGCAAGGACGTGGAGAAAAGGGAACCCATGTGCACTGTTGGTGAGATGGTAAATTAGTGCGGCCACTATAGAAAACAGTATGGAGATTCATGAAAAAATAAAAAATAGGTTGCCATATGGCCTATATTTATCTGAAGAAAATCGGAACAAGAGAATGAGAAAATGAGAAAGTTATAAAAGATATACAAGCCCTAATGGGTAGCTCAGTTGATTAGAGCATTGTCCTGATATACCAAGATTGCAGGTTTGATCCCCAGTCATGGCACATATAAGAATCAACCATGAATGAATAAATAAGTAGAATAAATATGTAGAACAACAAAATTGACATTTCTTTCTGTCAGTTTCTCTCTCTCCCTCTCTCTTTTTCCTTTCCTCCCCTTTTCTCTTTTTCTAAAATCAATAGATTAAAAAAGAAAAAAGATATATGCACTCCTAAGTTCAGTGTAGCATTATTTATAATAGCTAAGATATGAAAGCAACCTAAGTGTCTATCAGTAGGTGAATGAAAAAGAAAATGTAGTATAAATATACAATGGATCACTGAGCAATAAAAAAGAATTTGCGACAACATGAATGGACCTCTAGAGGGTATTTTGCTAAGTGAAATGGGTCAGAGAGAGACAGACAAATACATGATTTCACTTACATGTAGATTCTAAAAAAATAAGCAAAACAAACAAATAAGCAAAATGGAGCAAAAACAGACCCAAAGATACAAAGATCAAACAGATGGCTGCTGGAGGAGAAGTGGGTGGGAGGACGGATGAAAAGGTGAAGGTGAATAGGAGGTACGAACTTCCAGTTATAAAATAAATAAGCCATAGGGATGCAGAGTACAGCCCAGGGAACATGTCAATGATATCATAGAACTTTGCACAATGGCAGATGGTTACTAGACTCATTGTGGTGATTGCACTGGCAGGGATGTCCAACCTTTGGGCATCTCTGGGCCACACTGGGAGAAGATTTGTCTTGGGCCACACCAACAAAAACAAAAAAAGCTCATAACGTTTTAAGCAAATTTATGAATGTTGTGTTGGGCCGCATTCATAGCCGTCCTGGACTGCATGTGGCCCACAGGCTGCAGGTTGGACACTCCCGCAAGTATATAAATGTTAAATCACTATGCTGTACATGAAACTAATATAACATTGTATATCAACTACACTTTAACAAAATATATATTTTTTTAAATAGAGAAAAATCAATTCTCTATTTGGATCTAAAAGGGCAAACAGGAAATCAATTTTAAGGTGAATTAGCCTTTCTTCAAATCACATTCATCTCATTACATTTTAATGCTCAGGGGCTTTGACTACTTTCTTTCTTTTTTTTTTTTAATAAAGAGAGGGAGAGAAACATCAGTGTGTGCCTCCCACCGGGGACCTGGCCTGCAACCCAGGCACACGCCCCGACCAGGAACTGAACCAGTGACCCCCTGCTTCAAAGTCCAGTGCTCAATCCACTGAGCCACACCAGCCAGGGCTGACTATTTTCTATATAAGACATCGTATAGTTCTATTAAATACACTTTTTCTCTCTATCCTAGATCCAGTATTATTTTATTACATACTTGGTACGTATTAAAAGAAAATTTCTTTAGTTACCTAATTTTTAAATTTCAAAAAGTAATTGCAAGCAAAAAGTAATTCTTAAATTAAAAAAAAAATACAACAATTATCTTTGCTTACAGTGTTGTTTCTGGCCCAAAACAAGGAAATTCTATACTATAGACTCTTAAACCTTATTCTTGAGATGCAAAATCTACATTATTTAACTATTCAATTTGATGAAAGAATCATTTAAATTTGGTCCTAGACTTACTATGCCGTGATTCTTCTGGAAGCGAATGACTTCCTGGTCGTCTTCAAACGTACTCCCCATGACCATCCGTGTAACAGACTTCATAGCAAAACCAAGCATGTGCTGGCAAAGGGGCACGTGCTGTGACTCTGGGTAGGAGAGCCATTTATCCAACAATTCTTTGGAAAGCTGAGAGAGAACAGAAAATCACCATGATTTACTGTTTCCTCTTGCAAACCTTAGAAAAATTCATCAAGTAGGTTCATTCCACAGAGGACACAGCTCAACTCTAATCGAGTAAGCATTCGGGGGATTAGTTGATCTGCCAGGCTAACCCTGGCTCCACCTAACATTATACGCTCAGTGGTTCAGATTCAGATGCCATCCAAGGGTTGAGCTGCAAAACAGAACAGAAATGCCACCACCATCACAACAGAATATATCATTTAAAAGTTCAACGGCTGGTAACACCTTAAAAATAATGAAAATTAAGAGACTAAAAATCTTAGTATCTCATTAAAAATAATAAAGGTTCACCACAGACTATCTGTGATGTATAGTAAACTATCAATAAATACATGAATATGTAAAAGTCCTAGTCGTGCTCCCATAACAGAAAACTCTCAGAGTCTCTTTGTCATTTCTTAATTCAAGTATTTATTAAATCCCTTGGGGAATAAAAACATGTATAGGAAGAAGATCAGAGCTCTGAAGTCAGAAAAACCTTGGTTTTATTTTTGGTTCTCACTTAGAAGTAATGTGACTTTGAGCAATTTGCTTAATTTTTCCGATGTTCAGATGTTTCAATGGTTCAACAGGAACATCTCCTACCTCGCACAGTTGCTGCGACTGGGATAATTATATGCATGTCACATAAGGTGGTAATGGCTTTGTGTGATGATAGATATAAAGCCCATTTCAGATTAGGAACTCAAATTTAAGCTCTTTTCCCATTGCATCTCCATAAAAATTTTGTCACAGTATAAAGGATTAAAATCAATTTTCTGAGAAACAGACAAATATTCAAAATGAAAAGATATGCATGACAAAGGTTTACACCTACTCGAAGAGGACTATATGGAATATAATATTGTTTTTGGAAGAAGGAGAGGGAGGCCTTCGTGATTCTATAGTATCAAGATTAAATGAATTGAGCCGGGTAATACATTTTACTTTTTATTTTTTGGTAATATATTTTAAAAGAACTCTTTGAGACTTAGATGAAGTATAAAGAAAATAGGAAAATAATAATTAAAATAGAATATAACAATATAATTGAAAGTAACTTTCATATTACTAATGACATAACTCCACGTACTTTAAAAAGTTAGAATTCAGTAGTTATTACCAAGATCACATAGCTTCCTTTATACTAAAAAGTAAATAAAGATTTTGCAAACAAACCATGCTGGTTTTAAGTGAAAACAGAAGAGCTCACATAAATATGACATATAGCTAATGACAGAAGCTCCAACTGGAAAGGTAAACACTGGGGAAGAAAGCTTTCTTATAAAAGAAATAATAAAACCTATTATTAGATGTAAGATAAATCCATAAGATTTATTTTTTTAAGCACCACAGTTCATTTGCTTTAGAAAATATTATATTTCGTAGTAAGTATGGGGATTTTTGCCTCAAAACAATTCTAGGAAAAGCATGTGACTTGAAAACATCTCGCTTTGTGAACAGATGGCAAGTTAACTGGGTGTCAGTGTTCATCCACTTAGATACCCAACTGTCAAACCTTACCTTCTTCATCACTCAATCTACTCCTGAATGTCTAACCCTAAATTATCAGGCCCCACCCATGTGACAAAACTACACACTCAGACTTACGGCCTTTGTGTTGACCCATTGGTCAAGCACCACATGTCAGTGCTGACCCTTTATTTTATATACATGGAGGATTAAATGAGCTTATTGAGCTACTGAACCAATGAACTCAATAATTTTGGCTATTAATATTATTACTAAGCTGTCAATTAAAAGGATAGTCATAAATTTGAAAACCCATACTTGTTATATCAGGATTGAGACCCAAAGTCACAGGATAATATTCGCCTGAAGCACAAAGAAGAAAGAATGACTCACAGAATAAAAGCGGAGGTTCCCACTCAGCCTTGGAGCAGAGGCGTCAGGGCAGGAAGGAGTCAGAGCACACAGGATGAGGTCTGAGAGGGTTAGAGAAGAGTCAGAACACAGAACTTAGGTCTGGACCAAAAAAAAGAAAGCCAAAAGGTTTAGTGTGTCAGTATGAAACAGACAACTTAATTTGCAGTGACAACTCTGGTAAAGAGTTATTCTCTTAAAAAATACCACTGGGAGTTCCTGCCAAGATGGAGGAGTAGGTAGAAACCCTTTGCTTCCGTGCACAACCAAAAGGAGAATAACGACCAATCTAACATCAATAATCCACCAAAAGTTTCAGAAAATCAAACTCCGTGGAACTCTGACAACCAAGGAATTAAAGAAAAAATCAACCAGAACAACCAGAGCAGTGAGGTGGTGGACCACTCTGGCCGACTGAGAAAAACCACGGAGAGGCAGTAAACCAGGCGGGCAGGGCGGCTGTGGCCAGGTGGTGGCTGCATGGGTGGGGCTGACTGAAGGGGAATCACAGACTCAGAGCTGACTGTGGACTACAGCGGTTTGAGCGGTGGGAGAAGCTCCCAGTCTCACACAAGAGTTTGTTGAAAAGTGCACGAGAGATAAGCAGGTGAGCTGCACTGTTCCCTCTCTGACCCCTCCCCCACAGACAGTGCCACAACCAGGGAGGAGAGTTGCCCTGCCTGGGTAAATATCTAAGGCACGACCCCCTTACAGCCTATCAGCTGTGCCAACACAAAGAAATATGGCCCAAATGAAAGAACAGAGCAAAGCCTCAGAAAGAGAACTAAGCAATGAGGAGCTAGCCAACCAATCTGATGGAGAATTTAAAGCCCTGGTAATTAAAACACTCACAGAACTGACTGCACTTGGTTGAAAATAAAAAAACAAAGGAAGGATACTGAAAATGAAATAAACCAAAATATTAAGGGAACCAACAGTGACAGGAAGGAAACCAGTATTCAAAGCAACAATTTGGAACAAAAGGAAAAAATAAACTGGAACAAAATGAAGAAACAAGAATTCAAAAAAGTAAAGAGACTCTTACAAACCTCTGGGACAACCTGAAATTTTCCAATATCTGAATTATAGGGGTGGCAAAAGAAGAACAAGAGCAAGAAACTGAAAACTTATTTAAACAAATAATGAAGGAAAACTTCCCCAATCTGGCAAAAGAAATAGACTTCCGGGAAGTCCAGGAAGCTCAGAGAGTCCCAAAGAAGCTGAAACAGGAACCCACCAAGGCACATCATCATTAAGTTACCCAAGATTAAAGATAAAATCTTAAAAGCAATAAGAGGAAAGGAGAGAGTTACTTACAAAGGAGTGTTCATAAGGCCATCAGCTGATTTCTCAAAAGAAACCTTGCAGGCAAGAATGGGCTGGAAAGAAGTATTTGAAGTCATGAAAGGCAAGGACCTACATCCAAGACTGTTCTATCCAGCAAAGCTTTCATTTAGAATGGAAGGGCAGAGAAAGAGCTTCTCAGATAAGGTCAAGTTAAAGGAGTTAATCATCACCAAGCCATTATTACATGAAATGTTAAAGGAACTTATCTAAGAAAAAGAAGATCAAACATATGAACACTAAAGTAACAACAAACCCACAACTATCAACAAATGAACCTGAAAGAAAACAATGAAAATAAAACCTAAGCAAACAACCAGAACAGGAACAGAATCAGAGAAATGGACATCACACAGAGGGATTTCAGTGGGGAAGGGAGGAATGGGGGGGAAAGGTACAGGGAAGAAGAACCATAATTAGTAGGCATAAAATAGATGGGGAGGGATAAAAAATGGTATAGGAAACAGAGGACTCAAAGAACTATGTACAACCCACAGACATTCACTAAGGGGGGAGGATGCTGGAGGGTTGGGGGAGCAGGGGGGCGGGGGGATAAAGGGGGAAAAATTGGGTAAACTATAATAGCATCATCAATAAAAATACTTAAAAAAAGAATACCACTGGTAGAGAGACAGCAGTACTCTTCAATCAAGTGTTCTCTGATTAAACATTTAATTGGTATTTCTGACTAATACCTAAGCTAAGTTACTGGCTTGTGCTATGGGATTTACAATAAAAATCTGAAACACATTTCTCACATATGGTCCTAGTCTGGACCAAAGTTTAAAAATATGAAGACAAAAACATGAAAATTGAGAAATAATTTTCCACCTTAATTTGCATTTGATCAAGCAAGAGGAGAAGAAAAATGGAATACAGAACAACAAAAAAAATAGAAAGTTTAGGAAATAGTCTATGATAAAAGATTAAAGAAGTTAAAAATACTTACTTTGCAGCAGAGAAGAAAGAATAATGAATGCTTTAAACAATAAATATGGCTGAAAAGAAAATGGCATGATAGCAAAGCAAAGAGAAATGGGTAAAATTCCCTGGAGACATATAACCAAATACAAGAAGATTCTTACTAACAGCTCTGGCTGGTGTAGCTCAGTGGATTGAGTGTGGGCCTGTGAATTAAATAACCATGGTTTGATTCCCAGTCAGGGCACATGACTGGGTTGCAGGCCGGTTCCCAGCAAGGGACGCACAAGAGGCAACCAGGCATTGATGTTTCTCTCCCTCTCTTCTTCCCTTCCATTCCCTTCCCCTCTAAAGATAAATAAATAAAATCTTAAAAAAAGATTCTTACTAACAAAGTTAATGTGTTTTAACAAAACAGAAAGGAAGATTTTGACTGGTGAATGCTTAGAGATGGGCAACCTAGCTGCTTCCAGAGAGGACAATGAGGGGTGGCAGGCGCAGCTATGACAACCAAGCAGGCAGCCTGAGAGATCCAGAGAACACGGAGTGAGCGTGGCCAATGCAAAACCTTGAGATACAAAACATGAATGATAACAGTAAGAGGGTGGAGATTTGGTATACAAGTCTCCTGATGGCCCTCTGCATGATGGCTGCAAGTTAGAAATTGGAACTGGAAAGGAGAGAGAAAGCAGCAGCCAGCCATGGTTAAAGGCCTTGTCTGGTCTGTTTTCAGAAGCAAAACTAGGCAGAGAGGAGCCAATTATTGTTTCTGATAGACTCAGCAAGCAAGTGTGAAGTCTTAAATGGAAAGTGTG